TTTCAGTACCAGAAAGGAGCTTGGAGGAGCCCAAATGCTTCATCCACCTCCCACCGCCAGTCCTGAAGCTGGCTGGGGATGGAGGGAAAGGATTAAGGCTCACATCATTTCCTTGTGTGCTCCTATGGACTTTGCTTTGCTTCCCATTATTGTCCCGGGTTTGCTCCCGCCGGCTCTGCCCAACAGAACCGGGAAGGATGTGAGAGCCAGCCTGGCATTGGGCTTGGAAAAAAAAAACGGCCTTTTTCCTCCCTGCCACATGCAGGAATAATTCACCCAGAAACAATGTGCTAGCAATGACTTTCCAGATCAATTTATAGCCTGGCCTGACGCTTTCTTCCTGCCTAGGGTGAAAGAAGAAGGAAGAAGGGCCGTTTTTTGTTCAAAAATAAGTGTCTTTGGTGAGGTTGGTCTAAATCAGAGGGAATTTGGGGTGTTAACACTGAATCTGCTCAGTGCATGCTTTCCAACCCATCATCACGGCAAGTCAGTTAGTAAGAAATCACTCTGCAGATAAGGAGGGAGGCTGTAGTAAGCAGGTTTAGAGTTTCCTAAAAAGCTGATAAGATGGTTAAAAAGAAATAAAACCAAGGGTATAGCCTGGATCTTTCTCATATAAAGTGAATCTGTGAGTTCCCAGGGTAAGAGACAGTGTTCTATTTGTGGCTTCCCGGAAAAGGAAATAATACAGTGGTATTAGCTCCGGGAAAGTGGCAGCCTTCCCTTCCTCTCCAGATAAGCCAGAGCAATGCAGCCCATCCAGCAACCTGGAGGACATGGTCTGTCACCCAGCCACCATGGACCCCGCTGGTTGGTGCCCCACAGCAGGTCCCTTCCATTCCCTTCTCTCTCGGCATCGGACCACTCTCCTCAAAACCGGAGTGGAGCCCTTTTGGGTAAGGATTCACACATGCAGGAAACAGGGGCGACTTTGGTCCTTTCTTTTCTAGGCAGTGTTAACAACTCAGCAGCCCAAAGAATTTGTCTTGCAATCCCCTCTGTGGCTCAGCTTTCAATTCTCTATTCAAGTAGCATGAATGAACCGAAGTCTTTATTTGCATTCTCTTCAAATTGCCCTCCACCGCTAGCATGAGACCTTTGGAGTCTGAGTTTGTTGCAAGAGTAGCAGAGCCAAGATATTTTTACTGGGCATGATGCCCCACCGCTACCGCAAAAATCACTTCAAAGCAACTGCTGAGTCAGAATAAAGGGGGTTGGATGCATTTGCTTCCCAAAGATCACAATGCAAAGCTGGTCAGGAGGGGAAGCGAGAAGGGAGGTCAATGGATGCAGCATTCCCTGTCCCTGAGTCACTTGTCCTGCAGGAATCCATAAGATCTGGCATCTGACAGCAGGGAATGGCCTGGGCAAGTGCACAGGGGTTTGAGGGGGGCTTTATAAAGAAATCTCACCCTGGAACACATTTAAGGGCACTCTGGGTTGTTGCCCATCCTCAGGTTTGGCGGGGGTAGGGGGCTAACGTTGCACACCTTGCCCCAGCGCAGGACCAGCGAGCCGGCAGCATCACGTTTGCAAGCCGAGGAGCCATGTGCTCCAGCGTGGAAAGTGCGCAGGGCTGCCTTCAGGCTTCCTTCCCGGGGGTCCCAGAAAAAAGGGGAAAAAGTACCTTTGTTCTCCTTTGGCCTTCACCTTGCTGCAACTTTTAAAAAGTGAAAAGCTGGCCCTGTCCAAGCCCTTTATGTTATTTTCAGTTATGGAAGGGAAAGTGTATTCTTAAAGACTTTTTTTTTTTTTAAGGTTTTCTACCACTTTTAAACGGATGCAGTATTTTCTCCTGCACCTCCCGGGGAGCGGTGAGGCTCACCGTATGCCATACGCCTCCAAGACAGCTCTTGCTTTGGGGAGGAAGGGAACAACAGCAGCTGCATGTGCTCTGCAGGGAGCTCGGACTGCCTGGGTCTCCAGAGCAGACGTGGGGCCATCCCTTCCTCTCCTACCCTGGGTGGTCACCCCCATTGAGGCACCTGCTGTGTCCTCTTCCCAGGAGGCACAGAGGCAGGGGAATAGCGGGGAATGGTCATCATGACCCCTTTGTGCTCCTCATCCTTCTCTCTTCAGCTCCTCATCCTTCCCTTTTCTGCTCCAGCCCCAGCGAATCACCAGCTGGGCCCCCAGTATATCCAGACCCTCATCTCATGTAGCATCCAAACCTGCTGCAAAAATAGCAGACTGCATCTCGAGACGGGTAGGAGAGGATGATCCTGCCCCATCTTAAGATTTCAAAACAATTCCCACTCTATGTTTTCTGAAACCTCCTGGAATTTTTCAGCAGAAGAAGATGAGTCCACCCTGGGGTAGCCCAGAGCCTGGCGGTTAGCATGTGGTCTTGGGCAATCGGGCACAGAGGATGAAATCCCTGCTCGATGCCTGCAGAGCGGGCACCTGAACCTCCTGCGTCCCTTTATCCCTTCAAATCCTGCCTTGCTAAAACCAGTCCGGCCCTGCGGTAAGTGCTGATTTTGATGAATCAACATTTTCCAGCGAAAAACGTGGCATTTGCAATTTCCCAACCAGTCCTAATTGAGAGCATTCAGAAAAAGCAAACAAACAAATGAGCAAACCAAACAATGGCACAGGGCAGGAAATGAGCTGGGCATCTTTGAAGAGCTGTCTTTGCCCAAACATTGCTGCTGGGATGGGAGTGCCAGCAGATAAACAGCCCTGGGACAAACACAGGAACCACCATGCTCTGCTGCAGGAGCTCAACTTTGCTGCAAGTGACCACTGGTCCCTTTGGTGCTGAACGCATGTAGGTTACCTCTGAAATGCAAGATGTATCTCTGATATTATGAATGAGAGCTCCAGACTCTGGTCTGTGCCTGTCCTCAGTATGACCCATCTGCCCCATTTCTAGAGAAGCTAGAGGGATCTCCACAGATATATTGCTGTATCCCTCTTCTCCCAGCTGTTTCCATCACCACTATGCAGCACTTGGATAAGTGCAAGTACCAGTCTGGCAGTCAGGCACTCAGGGCTCCTCCTACACCACCTCTTTCTCTTCCAGTAGTCATGCTTCCCACCTTTCCCACCAGCAGACTTGTACAATTTTGTCAGGTAGGTACAGACAGAAATCTCAGATTTGCACTAGCAAATTTGCACTAGAGCCTGCTTTCCATGGAACCCTGATTCTTAGTGCAGGATCTTGGTCCTAGGTGATGCAGGACAAGTCCAGGTGACTCCAACAAGCCTTGGATTTTCAACTGTGGTGGGGAGCATTTCTCTTGGATGTACTTTCCCTCCAGACTGTACAAGCAGATCCAACGGCAGCATCTCTTCTCTGCCTTTGGGCTCAGGGTGGCATCGTCTTGGGATGGATGGATTTATGGGATTGCTGGAACTCCATTGCATGCCTGAATATGATGGTGGCCTTACCATGAGAAATATCTCTGCTATTTTTATTGCAGTAACACCAGTTCTGATCTCATGTGGCACCAGGCCAGGTAGGAGAACTGTTTCTAAGGACAACCCTATAGATCACTGGAGTTACATACTGTGAGGTTTGGTGGGAGTCAAGTAGCTCAGAAACAGCAAGTGTCTTGCCATGCTTTCCTAACCACAAGATTTTGGCCCAAGGCTGCCTGTCACGGTGGCAAGCTCTGCTGCTGGGAATATTCAGCAGGGCCCCGAGGAAGGGGCAATGGAGAGGGATGGAAAGGTGGTTGGGGGAGCAGCAACAGCAGAGCAGCACCGGTGTGGAGCTCTTGGATATGTCAAGGAAGCCCATATGGATGGTCACCACGGGGGATCACTGGTGCTTTCTGATTTCCTATTTTATGGTTCTGACTTCTCAGCAGCTCCTCCAGCTGCTCTTCCAGCCTTTCAGTTTGCCAGTTTTGTGCTCATGAAAAGAAAAAGAGCAATGCATCCTGGCAGGTATGAGATGGCAGCTTCCATCTGCAGAGCTCCGATGGAGGCAGTCAAATCTAGTTTGTGAAAAGAGGCTGCTAAAACCACAGCCTCCTCTCAGACCAGTTTTCAAAATTTGCCACCAGCAAAATGCAGCCTCAGCCACTGCTGCCACCTCTGCCAGGCTGTGCCCATCCCACAGGGACCTTCTGCATGGCTTCCACTACACAGGCATGGGAGACCCTCAGCAGAGGGCACATGACTCTTCCCCGTGCTCCCTGCCATCCCACCCAGTTGACATTGACGTGACAGCATTTTCTCCCAGGAAATGGTGAAGTTGGGGACAGATATTCAAAAGAGGTTTGCAGCAACAGGGTCAGGGATGCTGCCCTGGAATGCCCAGCTCTTGGCTGATACACTCAAAACTGCTTTTGAATGAAATCTGCTTTCTGCACGCAACCTGTCAAATACTTGAGAGCAACAAGCACGTCCCACAGCAAGGACTCTGCCCGGGCCTCCCACAAGCAGAAAAGGGAACTGGACACATTTTCTAAATTGGTCATGGCTGTCGTCCATGATTTTTCTGGGTACAATTAATAGGTGACTTAATTCTTTGCTTAATCTGAACTGTTTCCATTACGCAGCTGAGGAAGTTCGGTCTCCCAGCTGCCTCGCTATATTTGGGCTGTGAACTGCAGGAAGCTGATCAGCACGGCATTGCCACAGATATTCCACTGCAATGTTTCCCTAGAAAGAGAAATCTCGTTCAAACCTCTCTGCCCTCTCCTCCTCGCCCCCTGGGTACTGGGGTAACCAGCTCTGTGTACACGCTCTGGGGCTGCGTAACTCTCCTCCCTCCCTCCCTCCCTCCCTCCCTCCCAGGGAGTTAATTTGGACAGCAGAATAGTGTAACATGATGGGTGGCTCCAGGACCTTTTAAAATTGCCTCACCCAAGCACCGATGATGACACCCTAAAGTCAACATCAGTGCCCCCTTCCCAAGCTGTGGATACATGAACTGGCACCGTCCTTTGAATAGATCCACAATGTTTATTCAGTTGCTTTGAAGGTGCAGTAGCTCAAGTGCGTGTCTCTGCCTGTGGCCTGCAAGCCCCCCGCTGCTGCCCGCGCTGCTAGTTGCAGTAGTTTTCCAGTTGGTAGAGGGAGCATGTGTTGTGGCAGCATTGCTCAACGATCCCTCGCTTCACTTTCTCAAACTCCTCCTGCTGGAAGGGCAGCTCTCCCACCTCACCATGCAAGGGACCGCTCACTGCCAGGGAAGAAAAAGACAAGCTGTGGGACATCACACAGCATCAGTCCTGGCTGTTGTACCCTGCAGAGACCCCCCTTTGCAGACACCAGATTTTTAAGCCAGAGTTGGCTGGAAATGGGGAAGAAGTTGCAATGGTTTCCCCAGTTGATGTTGCTTGTAGCATCTTCAGGCTCTGTGTTTCCTGTGCCAAATTAATCCTATGGTGCTTAGAAGGAGCTGAGCTGAGTGGCTATCAGCAGTGTGAAGGACAAGGGCTTTATTGAGGCAGGCACGTGGAGAAGAAGAGAAACCCTGCACCCTAAGATAGGAAAATGGGCTTGTCTACTCCAGAGAGATGAGTTGCTTGGGACTGCAGACCCCCTCTGGGAGTTACCCACTCTTCTGGGAGCCTGGACAAACAACTGGGATGTCAGGGATTGCAAGGACCGTCCAGTCCCGGGGCTGGAAGCATTTCCCAACTGGTCCTGGACAGCCTGCTCCGGTTGGCTGTCTGCATGTAGCCCCAAGCTGATGGCAAAAGTGTTTGTGTGTGTCCGTGTTCACTGCTGGGGATGAGTTTTTAGAAGGAATGATGAATCAGGGCATTTGGACAGAGACAAAATTTAACAGAATGTCTCATTTGCTGGTGGGGACTTGAAAAGTTGTGGACAGAACTGTTCAGGTTTTAGTTGCCCAATGAAAATATGCAAAATGGAAAATAAAACAGATTTTTTCCTGCAGGAGGAAAAGAGGCCCTAACAACAAAAAGAAAATGCCTGGAAAGCAAGTATGAGATGAGGTTTCTAGGGCAATATGAAAGTACAGCACAAGATGCAAAATCCCCAAGCCCCCAAAGCATGATGCAATGAACAAGGCACAAGAGTAACAAGAAATCATTACGCTAGTATGCTAGGAGGAAAATTTAGGAAAGGTTTAGTCCAACATTAAAGAGGAGAGGAAACAGCTAGTCAATGTTTTTAATTTACTTGTCTTCATCCTTTAAGCCAGCTGTGAGCAGACTGTAAACACAACCAGCTTATGTGACAAAGAGGTGGTGGCTCAGGCAAAAATCCTGGAACAAGAGGTGGAAAGTCCTCAGATACTTTCCAACTGGTTGGCTCTGATGAAATTCTCAATACAGTATTTAGGGAATTGGCTAACCATACTTCCAGCCCATTCATGGTGGTCATCAGAAAAAAATCATCAGAGAAGGGAGCAACTAACAGCCCAGCTGGCTATTGACAAAAAAATCATAGCAAACCCTCTGCTATGACATTACCTTGCTTCACCTTCCAAAGACCTCTAAGACTATTTCATGGGATGGTTGCATACACAAGAGAAAGAAATGGATCCAAATGAAACCAGTGTGTGACAGGAAAAGAATTGGTGGAAGAGTCGTATCATAGTCAGTAGAAGTTAAGTAATGGTCCATCTGAAAATGTTAAAATGACACCCCCTCTGGCAGGGGTCTCTTCTACATCTATTCAAAGTCTCCATTAGTAGCTTGGAAGACAGAAGAGAGAGTGTACTTCCTGGATTCATAGAGGAGCTAAATCTGAGAAGAACTGCATGTACTCATCTCCAGGAGAGACAATTATCCTTACATTACAGCTGGAGCACTACAGGTCTTGGCCCCATCTGGATACAGACACCATGTTGAAGGGCAGCAATCTGGAGTGCCTCATCCCACCTGCACTGCCATGCAGACAGAAAGTGCTGGACCAGGGGGGCAGTGACCTGGCACTGAGGGGGTGTGGGCAGGGCTGTCATCTCCTCCTGCCTCTCAGCTCTTGCACTTGTCAGTAGTACAGGAGTTCTGAGGAAGGGAACAAAAGCAGCTCCACCAACATTTCATCACCATTTAATAAGAGACAATATAAAGTTGTGGGGGCTGCAAGCCTCTTGAAGGGCAAGATTAGCACTAAAAACTATGTTTGAAACTACAGAAACACTAAAAAGATGGGATGCTGTTCAGTAAGAAATGAGAAAGATGGTAAAAGTAGGCAGGAAAACTGCATTGCACATCCAGGACAAGGGTTTGACTGTGGTAGCAGTCCTTCAAGGACTGCTTATCCACCCAATGGAGGGCCAAGGCATCCAAGAAAGACAGTGATCACTATCAGTCAACAGTGCAGTGCTGATTTGAAAAAGGCAAACCACCTGTGTAGTCAGGAACATGGTGTGAAAAACATGTAATATCATTAATCCAGTTTGCTCACTCTACTTGGCACTGGCAAGGCCTCAGCTGGTGTCCTGTATGCTTCTCCAGGCATCACCAGTCAGTAAACGGATGCAGATCAAATGCAGAACAATTTGCATGGACAGAGACCTAGAAAATATGACCTAAGAAGGTAGAGGAGGGGTGTAGAGGGGATTTAGCTGAGAGCAGGCTAAAACTAGACATAGGAACAATCTTCAAATATTTTGAAAAGCAGCCACAAAGAAGAAAAGAGTAGACTCTCAAAGAAGACTATATGTAATTTACAGCAAAGGATGTTCAGGTTAGATATTGGGAAGAAACACTCGAGAATAAGGTCAGTTAAGCAAGGGAACAGGCAGTTTCAAATGGCAGAAGAAGCTTCCTCATTGGAGGTTTTTATGAATAAACTAGACAAGCATGGGTCAGGAATAGGATGGGGACAACTGATCCTGTCTCGGGGCAGAAGGAGGCTTACTGGTTTCTTTCCACCTTTATTTTCTATAAACACTCCCAGGCTGGTACAATGGCCACAGAAAAAAAAATGGACAAGTTTGAGTTTTCAGCCACAATTCCTTTTGCCTCATAAATCCTCTTTCCCTGCCTGCCATCCCATCTGCCTTTTTAACCTGAAGAGCTTTTCATTGGAAATGTGATGTTGTTGGTATGTTAAAGATATTCCTGGCATTCCCCATCAAGGACATTCCTGGTGTCACCGTCAAAGATAGGCGGTTGTTGCCTTTTGGATCGCACAGCATATAGCTGCGTTCAAGGTCAGCCTGACTTACCTAGAGGCTGCTCAATATCCCGTCGGGCTTTTGGGGAGTAGAAGAAACCCCGCTCTCCACACACCAGGTAGAGAGCCTCCACCAAGTGGGATCCGCAGAGGTGCTGGTTGACAGCTGCGTGGCTGGTCCCAGGGCCAGAAAGAGCGAGAAGGGCCAGGAGAGGCAGCGATCGGATCCAGAGAGCCATGGTGCTCAGGGTGAGGCCTAGGTTTAAGAGACAGAGGAGGCACAGGGAGGTCTAGGAGGGAGAAAAAGATTGTCATCAAGCATCTTACGCCCATGAAAATGAGATCAAAGTAGTAGTTGGACCTTCTAAAGATTACATAGCTTGGGAGAGAAGGAGAGCTTTCTGCATCAGGCTTTACAAGTCACAGTAAGCGGCTGATGATTATTATCACAAGTCCATCTCCCTCCACATGTTCACATCAGTCCTGGCCTCCCTGTTATCTTCCCCCAAACAGCCAAACTAGACTGGAAGAGCCATCCCACTGAGCACTGTAGCCTACGTGCACAGGAGAGCTGAGATCAGCAGACACCTTCAGAGGAAAAACCCTCTCTGCCAAGTCAGAATGGGCTGGTACTTATAATGGTGGCCCAAAACCAGCACAATGTGCTCAAAGACCAGAGAAGACCTCATTTTCTTGGACTAGTGAACCTGCAGTTGTCACCACCAGCTACATCAACTTAAGGAAACAGCTCTGCAAAACAGGTAGAAGCCAAAAAGGCAGCAATCAGACTTACCCAAAGAAGAGGCAGCAAGAGATGGAGAGAAGTTTGCTCTGAGAAATGAAGACTGTTTGGTTGGTAGTGATATCCCCATTCTCTCTTTCCAATATTTATATGTTTTACGTTAGCCCAAGTGACACAAGAGCTAGTGTGAGCCCCACCTCCTTGATGACACTCCAGCCAAAATTTTTGCTGCTTGTGCACATTAATTTCCCTCTATGTAGCATCAACAGGTCTTTATGCAATTTAAGATAGAAGCAACAGTTTGCAGTTTCCATCTCATTTCATCTGACCTGTTTTTGCTTCCTTGAAGCTCTGTCCTGAGCCATCAGTGACCCTTTTAGCAGGAGATAATGATGCTATTACATCTGCAATGATTACTAATGACACTAATGCTGGCAATAGGCACTGCTGGCATTGAGGTGGCTCAACAGCTGTTTCTGAAATGTAAATTAAAGGCAAACACGTTAATCTGTTTGATTAATATCACCTTGGAAAGTATGCAGTGATGGGACCAAGTTGTCGGTGAGACCATGCTACTGTCAGGTGTTCAAGGAAGGAAAACACATTATTGTGCTGAGGCTGTCTGCGGCCCCACTCACTGGCCATGCAGTGCACAGCGAGAGGCACACATCCACAGCTTGGGCTGGGGGGGGAATAACACCTGCATTTTGCAGGGGACCTTGGGTAGTCGCTCTAGCTCAGCACGGGGTCAGATTAGATTAGATTTGAAATTTTGTATGTGAAACTTTGTATGTATGTCTTTCCCTCTTCGCCCACTGGGTGTTAGCAGAGCAGAGACTCAGTCTCTCCTGTTTACAGGTGAGAGCTCAGAGCCCCTTAGCTCATCTCTCTGGGGCTCTGCCCAAAATTGTGTCTTCGACACCAAGAAACATTTCTGGTAAATCCCAGTGAAAACCAGGAGATAGCTGATTATCTCCATTCTGGCCAGTAAATTCACTTTTAATAGGAGATGATGGGTGAGGGCTGGTCCACTGTCTTCATTTGTCTGATTTTGGCACCAGAACTAGCTCTCTCTCCCTTTCACAACATTACCCCATTTTTTTGATACTTCTGGTGCTCAGCTTTTCTGCCACCAATAGCATGTTTGCACCTTTTTCTGTTTAAAGTATACTTTTTTTTTCCCCTGCCTGAAAAGGTCTATTTTAAATGATGGGGGTGAGATGATCTTTAAACTTCCCATTGCTCTCAATTTTGAGACAAGTGCTCAGCACCATTGAAAAGGAGACACTTTCATCTGTTTGAACTCTGCTGCTGGTTTAATTAAGAATAAGCCTGATTCTCCATACACAGTATAAATCAGAAGGAAGTTCACCAAAATCAGCAGAATGCCTTGAGACTCAAACCAGACCCTTGATTTCTTGATTAGCCAAAGCAATTCATCCATCAGCATCTAGGAGGTAGGAAGTCCCGTATGCCTCTAGTGTGGCTTTAAGTATGAAGTATCATATGATTGCTAAATGACTGTGATTGCAAAAAGGCTTGTGAGAAGTGCTAAATCTCTAATGAGCGTACAGGGAGGGGGGTCATTTGCTCAAACGGATGTGAGACAAGGTTATCTGTTATATCCCCTGCCATGTAGGTCTTTTGGCCTCGTGCTAATAAATCCAAGTCGTGATGCTCAACTACAGTTAATAGCGTTTCTGCACAATGTGTAACACTATCTCTGTCTCCCTTCCCCTCAAAAAAGATATTGGATGTACTTGAATGACCTAGTGTATACCCATGAAGAGGGTCTCAGGTTTCAGCAAGATACGAGTAAAGGGAATTCACTTACTCAGACCTTCTTTCTCCTGGGAGAAGATGGGGAATTAGCAGCCACACAGGATAAAACCTGGCATTTTACCCAATTTGAAGTAGGTTGTCAAAGCCAGGAGCAGAAGCCTTGTGCCACTCACACCTCGTCCAGAGCAGGGAGCCCCCATCCAGCATCTCACATGAAGGGGACAACTTGCAGAATTACCCTATGGATCCCCTTAGCAGTTGTTTTCCTGCAGTCACCACAGTGCATGAGGTACAGTGGATGTCAAGCCAGTGGTCACCTTGGAAAGGCCCCAGAGCAGATTATTCCTCAGGTTAATCACACACTGAGATTTGCCATTTAGGGTTTTCATTCTTGCACTTTTGAACGTTACCTGAGCTCACCTGAACTCGTGTTTTATTGACAGTGGGACTTTATAAGAAGGCTATCTTCACTACTTTCTCTCTTCTGAGTAGCTTCCCTGATGGGCTTCCCCCTTCCCCATGGTTTACCCCACTGATGTACCAAAAAAAAAAGCTATTTCATTTTGTGTTGGAAGTGCCATGTTATGAGTCTGTTCCTTCTCTTACTCTAGGCAAACAAAACCCTGGAGGTAGCTTTGAAAAACTCGTGGTATTTCTGCAACATGCCCCAGCAGGGGAACGGCTGACTGTACCCAAGTGTTCAGGAATCCCTCTTGGCTCGCTGTAGTTTGGGTGCAGAAATAAGCCAGAAGATTTATTGGAAGGAAAAAAGATATCCTGCTGGCTCAAAGTTCAGCATGGGCCAATCTTTTTTTTGCAAAAGTTTCCTACTATGATTTTTTTTCCCTTTCCAAAATATGATCACTTTGATTATTTATTGGAAATCGTATTTTCTTACCATAAATGGCCCTTTGAAATATGAAAAATGCTAGCAGTGATATAAATGGATATAAAACGGATATAAACTGCGGAAAGTTTTGACTTAGATGAAAATGTCCCATGTCAGCAGCAAACTGAGAGAAGGGGCCAACAGGGGAGCCCATTTCTCAACAGAAAAGTTTTTTCTACAGAAAAATCTCACCTCACTCTTTCCAGGTTGGGCTTCCCTATGTTTTCCATGTGATTAGGCAGCAATGGGCCAAATGTTTAACCACCATTTCCGATACAAATGTCTCCCATGACCTCCCAGGTTATCAGCTCCACATTGGGCTCACTTGTCCGAAGGGTGGGAGCATCAGGGTGGGAGTGGGCTACTCCTGACTCCTGCCCTTCATGCTAAACCACCTCCAGACGTGACTCGAAGCCACCTTCCTTACTCACATCCCTCCGACCCCGAGCAGTTGCATCAGTGGGAACAAAGTTTAGGCAATCCCTAGTGTCATGTAATCAAGTTTTACAGTCCGTTGCCAGCACAATAAAATCTTTACTACTGTAGATGTCTGGCATTTTCGAACCCTGTCCTGAAAAAATAACAGGCCCACTATGGGAGAACCAGTTAACAATTACAAGTTTGTGCAAGTTTTACTGACAGCAAAGTCCAGGTCTGAAGGCAAGCAAGTTCTCAGAGAGCACCCGCATCCCCACCACTGCTCTCATGCTCCACAGCCACCACTGGGGCTGTTCTGCCCACCCCCAGGCGTGTGTTGCCCTAAAAGCAGAGCAGAGAGCATCAGCTGCAACTGCCTGCTTCATTTTCCCTGGAGTGTGAATTGGGTGGCTTGTGAACTAAATAGCCCCAGAGAAGGTGCTGCCTGCCAATGTACCCCTGCACTGTGCTAGCAGCTTGCTGAAACACAGTCCTGATGCACCCATAGGGGTCTGCACCCCCAAAAGCAGCTTTTGGGGGTGGCCAGTCCCTGGGAGATGCCTCAGTATGGCCACTGGTAGCCGGAGATTTGTAGTTGAGGCAATGCACTCAAGCACATGGGCCATTTGAGCTACAGATGTGTAGCACTTAGATTGGCACGGGGAAGCAGGGACTCCCTGGGTCCCACTGGTTGCCTCCTCCAGGCTTTGCTCCACTCCCTGTGTGGGGTCCAGCAGCAGTCAGCAGCACGGTGCAGAACAGGGAATCCAGCATCCTCAGTGCTCCTTGTCTCCATGTGGTTTCCAGCAGCTGTGCTCCTGATGCTGTGTCCAAGCATCCATGGAGCAGCAGCATGTGACCACCCTGTCAGTGGCAGTGGCGTGAGATGAAGGACAGGGAGATGAGCCTGGTGCCTAAGTGGGTGCTTAATCATGGGAATGCTTGCAACCAAATCCTGTGATGCCTGCAAAGATACGTGGTGGGTGAGGCAGCCGCCATGGGCTCAGAAGGGAAAGGGGGCTGCTATAGCGAAGGGTGAGGCTCTGAGGCTTATCAGCCACACAATGAGAGATGCCCTTGCTTCAAAAGGGGCATTGTGCAAGCAGAGAAGGGGGCCACTCACTGGGATACAAGTAATCTCAGCTGCTTCTATAAACTAATCCAGGCGGCCGCCTGGGTGCAGGGCATGTGAACCATCGCCATGGCCCTGTCGGCTGCCAAGCTCAAGGGATATGCTCCTGCCAGACCATGGATTTCACAATTTTCCAGGCTTTTCCAGACCAGAGACATTATCTTGCCGCTTAGAGCACAAAGGGTTGATTCATAAAATGGAGGGTGCAACTCAAAGGTCGGTGTAACCAAGCAGGTCTTACCCATTGGTTTCCATCAGGTTTGGGTTAGCTGCCAACAGCAGAGAGGGTTGTGAGTACATCCGCACCACTCACTGGTGGAAGATGCTCCAGGGAGCAACTCCGAAGAGCTAGTAGCTTTCATTAGAGAACAAGGGAGTTTCCTAGGTGTGCTGTGGCTCTGAGAACGGCCTCCTGCAACCCAAACCCTCTGGCCACCCATCCTGAGCACATCACACAGCAGGCAAATGCTGATCTTTGGCCAGCCCAGCTCACATGGGGCCACTGAAGCTGCAAAGTGCTTTGGATGCACCTTGCTCAAGTCCCCCTCTACAGTCTCAAATCTCTACACAAGTACAGCCACCCAAGCAAAATAGACCAAATTTGATTATCTCTAGAGTAAAGGTCCCCAAATCTTTCCCATCCATCTTAGGAAGAGCGTATGCAAGGTTATAAATACAGATGGAAAAAACAGGTATGCTCCTTTTAACCCCATTAAAATATTACTGGCCACATATTTTTTTGAGAAGATAGAGGAGAAAATAGCACCTAAGAGCTGCTAATAGTTCCTAGACATAGCTATTAGCAGATGCAGCAGAACAAATTAGTTTGTTTATCAATGAGGAGAAGATTAAATCTGTGGCTATTAATGGCCCAAAAGTAATCCTTGGCGTAGATCGAGAAACATTAGAAGAGGTGATGACACACTGCTAGAGGACAAGTAATGAACAACAAAAGTAACAAATAACTTCCACAGAGTGGAGAAGCACTGGAAAAGTAGCCTGATCAGCACCAATCCAAAAATAGACATTTTCAGCACTGATACCACATCTGTCCTTCTGCATGTTGTGGAAGTTCACAAGAACAACCAAAGAGGATCTTGACCTGGTCCTCAGGACACAACCATGAGAGGGGCCATTGAGTCCATCAGGCAGTTTTCTCCAGTGTTCACAACTGTAGGCACTAAAGTGTCATGGTGCCACCACTATGGCTTCCACAGCAGCTTGCATCACTGGCACCACTTGGAAAGCAAAGACATGGATGACCTGGAAAAGCCTTTGGTAAAACAAAGAAAACCTGGTCCTTGCCCTTGATTTTGGGAAATATGGGCAGGTCACCAGAGAGCAGCAGACATAGCAGAAAATGACGGGTGCTATAACCAGCCAAGGCAGCAAGGAGGTAAAGAGATAAATGCTAAAAAACGAAGGAATGGTTTTCACTGGCTCAGACTGGATTTGTTGCCTGCTGTAAGGTGGTCTCGTGGATTTAAAATAAACGTCAAATACATATGTTTTCTGCCACTGCTCATCTCTGCAGTTCTGGGAGCACCATGGACATCTGCCACAGTTTCTCTGATGATAAAATTGGGGGCTGCAAGTGATACTGTAAGAGGACACTGAGAGCAATGTACTCATTCTCACACCACACTTTATGCTGAGTTTAAATAGGAGGCTTTGAGACACCATTTTCTAGAATAAACTTTATTTTTAAAGTCCCTGTTTTGCTTTTGAGTGCTGCTGGAGATTTTAGCTAACACTGCCCTGACGCCATTGCCCTGAGGCCCTACTTTTCTCCAGGAGGTGTGGTTTGCCACCTGGAGGTGCTGCTCACTCCTTTGCCTTCGCAGGGTGCTCCAAGCCTCAGCACTTTGGATGCCTCCAGCTAGGTTGGGACCTGAACCAGGAGCTGTGGTTTCTCCCTCCTTCCCCCTCGCTCCCACAGCATCTCCCACGTGGGAACTGGTGTTTCGCTGACCAGGACCTTTCCTAACATGGCACCCAGCAACGAAAAACCCAACCCACCATTGTTCTTGTGAGCAGCGGCTGCTCCCAGGCATCCATCTCCCTGGCATTATAGCCAGCTACACTGGTTATTCCTCACTCCTGGGATGCTCTGCCAGGGCCAGGAGGTGCCAAGGACTTGCAGAAAGGCTGACCCCCCCTCTCTGCTCACAGTCAGCTGGACCCCACTGTAAAGTGCTCTGATCTCCCCTGCCAGGGCATGGGGAGTCCCAGGTCTGATATCATTAATTACTGCTGAGTAAGTGGATCATTTTGAGCACTTAAAGCTACTTTAAGGATTTGGATGCACACCGGTAACGAGCCCATAGGTTTGTCTATGGGTTCCTAGACAAGGAGGTGTAAATCCTACTGATAAGGCTTGTTAGTGTTACGGGGCTGGGGAAGGGGAGGCGGGGGGGTCTCTGGAGCCAGGCACAGGGATCTCCAGAGGCCAGGAGGGGTGAGCCCACCACTGCAGCCCCCTCCTCCTGCCCGGCAGTCCCTGGCTGGGGGGAGGCACTGGGGTGCTGCGGGCAGTCAGGGTCAGGCTGATTTACAGCAGCGGAGGAACTGGGGCTGTTAATTCAAAGTTGCCGCTTATCGGTGTTTAGAAAGCAAGCTCTGATCTGTTGGTTAGTGATTTGGCCTTTGCTGTAAATAGAGGGGCCCCGTGCTTTGCTCTGACATTTTTGTCCTTATTATCTTGTCTCAGCCTCTGAGGGAGGTGGGAGAGTTATTTAAGGCTGACCTTAGTGGAAGGAAAATGAACAACTCCCTTACCCCACCCTGTTTTTCTCTCCACCGTCCCGGGTAACAACCATTGCATTGAAGTATCTGGGTGAGATACTTAATCCTCCACCACCCCTGCAAATATTTTGTAGATCAATTCACCCTGCTGTGTCCAGAGAAAATAATCACAAAGGGACCAGGTAGAACTAATGTCAGGATTAAAAAAATAGATTTTGCATCATTATCCCTCCAGGAAAATTGATGAGGATAGACCCCCGTGAGGCTCTGGAGCTCACCCCTGAGCCTGCCCGGTCTTGCATCGCTGTAGTTCAGGTCTAATTCAAACCTGGTTCAGGCCTAATTCAAACCTGTGTTTCACGTGAAGTTTCAAAACCAGTTGCTCCATCCCAAGCTAAACCTCTGAACACCACACAGAAGCACATGATAGTGACTGGTTGGAGCTGGAGGGAGTATTTTTGGATTTGGCATCTGTGTACCGGAAATTTATATCAGAACCCAAATCCTCCACAGTTCTGGAGGAGAGGATTTAGGGGATGCATGAGGATTCCGGGCGGGTCCCGTCCCTCTTGGGATGTACATGATTTTGGGAGGCTTGCAGGACAGATGTCAACACATGTACATGCTCCAGCTGCTCCTGAGTGACATACACCCTGAACAAGATGGTTGAAGTGAATCCATTCACAGAGGTACGAAGAAAACCTCAGTCATTTGAAGCACAGCACTTGCAAGACTGAAAAACATCTAATCTTCAAACACTTGTTTTATTGACCTTCCAGCTCCAACCCTACCAGCTGCACAACGAGAGTGCTACAAGGCTATGGTAGCACATCTGGAATGCAGTCGCAGGGTCTTAAATCCCCTACCTAATCTTTGCAAACCTCTCTATTCGGGTAAAAAAAAAAATTAAAAAATTAAAAAAACCCCTCCTGATCAGTTTTCAAGTAATTTCAGATATGTTCTGCTTTCAGCCGTGCCATAAAAATGTCAAAAGATCCTCTTCGCCCTAGAAAACCTAATGTTTTCCTAAACATTGTAACAAACAAGTGTAGAAAAAACTGAAAACAAATTCTCTGCAGTGGAAAGTGCAGTACCTTTTCTGGTCCCTGAGGAGCCCAAGTCTGATTTTAGCTGGATTAGCAGTACGAATGACAGCTCAGGTCTTACCCGAATCAATTCCCGTCTCCAGGGGGCCGGTGCGTGTGCGCGCACATACCTGCGGCTACAGCATTTGTAAATAATTGAGTTCTTCTGATCTGTACCATCACAGCACAAGAAGAAAGATTTGGTCCTGAGGGGCCTGACAGAGGTTCAAGCCCCAGATCTGCCACTTAGACGCTTCTTCCCAAAGCTGTTTAGGCATGTAATTACTTTTCAGGCTCTGTGCCTGGTCTGAGTCTCTCAGATTCACTGCTTCCTTTTATCTGTCAGCCTTTTACGGGGACAAGAGTACTCCTCTACCTCCCAAGCGTGTAATGAAGATGAATTCATTACAGCTGTAACACTTTAACGAGCACTATGAAGATACAGGGTATCCTTACAAGTCCTAAATTAGGAAACTCCCTCTCAGATGATGCTGGGGTGCCTGGATGCATGGCCCAGACCTGTGCCGGCAATACATTAATCCACCTCTGTCTGTGACTCTGGAAGGGATTTAACCAGAGAAAAAGTTTGGCTTCCATGTAAAAGCCAAGCTTGCAGCAGTGACTGGAATTAGTTTCCTTACACATAAGGATAACTTCAGAGTAGGAAACACCTATGCGGCCTTGGGCATCTCTTCTGGTCTCCTGGGGTGCACTCCAGTTCCTGGGTATCCTGTATCCCATCCACCACTCCCACATGGATGCAGTAGATGCCTTAGGTCATCTAAAATAGGCCCTATGCTTAAACAAGTAGGTTCCCCACCTAATTACTCTAGGAAGGATGTTCAACACAATTAGGATTGGGATTGCATTGCCTGGTTACACGCAAACCAGACTACGTTACCAGGCACCGTGTGTATGCTGGTGTTCCTACATGGCCAGTGTTACTGGAACTGAACAGAAATAGTGAGAAATGCTGGGGGAGAGAGCACGTAGCGAAGGCAAGTCCCCTGGTGTGTTACTATTTAAAAAGAGACCTCCCAACTACTGTTCCATGAATAATTGTGCAATTGGTAATATCCTGGCAAAGAAAGGCTTAGATCAGCTCATCTGCAAACAAGGGACCATTTTCCACCTCTGAGTTAACATTGTGCATGAGCACCCATTGTGGATCGCCCGCCGTAACGGGCCCCGGGTTGGGTTTGTGTACCACCCGCCGGCAAAACACACCACTTGAATCTGGACAGCAGAAGGATGCAAGAGCCAAACTCAGGATGCTAGACCAGAAATATATTTTTTTTTTATTCTTAATATCATGTCAGCAGCAGCACGATTCCAAAATGAAAAATAATTCTGTTTCGTATTTCTTTACACAGAGAGACAGACAGGCAGATCCACCCACAGCAGCAGCAGCGACAACAACGAGAGACCACTCAGCGAGGCACTGGGACAGGCAGATACCAGAGGGTACGGCGGGGCCTGGCTCAGAGGAAGGCGTTTCTCCTTTTCTTCCTCCCTTGCCAGCCCATGCTCTGTCTATGGGAGGGTTTAGCCTGGGCTGACCCATCACCTCGGCTTTCTCCGGGTCACTTTTTATAGTGACTTGCAGCCGTGTTTGGTGAGGTCTGGGGAAATGACATAAAGGTTCCCATGACCCACCCCAAAGGACATGAGCTCATACTTAGCTCCAAGCAGCCACATAATCCTACAAATCTACTCCACTGTCAGGAAAAGGGAACTTATAACAACTTTTGGTGGAGGGTGTGACTGGGTAGATCCCCAAAATCTTTTCTTCTGAATGATCTTGTTCAAGGCAACTCCACAAATCTGACCAGCTTTGTGTACAATCCTTAAGGGATACCTTAAGATAAAATTTAAAGCATGGGAAAAATCTAAAAAGACTCAGGAAAATGCCTAAAAACAGAAATACTGGAGGGCTACAGGAAATCCCAACAATATCAGAGATTACAGCAAGGGCTGTGGGCGCCTCTCCAGCCCACAGGAAGCTGATGAGCGATAGGGACCAAATGTTCCCCGATACAGGAGAGCAGATGAAGGGAGAATTAAGGATACGTTGCCGCTCTGAGTGAGATTGGTATGGGAGGCAACAATAATCCGTGCCGACTGAGCCCAGGCAACATCAGTGTATCAGCTGCTTCACCGGGGAAATTGTGTTTCAAAAGAATCTATCAAGTGACTTGAAATAAGTTTGTCTTTAGAAAATGAATACCATCTAGTGGCCCAAAAAGGCAATAAAGAGGTGCAATGGCAATTAGAGAATCAGATGAATTTAGAAAAAGAGAAGGAAAATCGGCAGAAGTAAGGAGAGGGATTAACATATATAGTGCAGTGATTCACCCTGGAGCAAGGGAGAGCTCAAAAGGGACCTGATCATAGTAAATGCAAACCTAAAATTAGACACTTGCAAAAGCAGATTGGGATGCAAAAATTAAAAATAACTGCAGTAGCTGCAGGAAGTGATGGAGAGAGCTGGATTGGGAGCTATCAGAGGAAGATGATTTCAAGGATGATATGTGCAAATGGGAAAAGAAAGAGAAGTTGAGAATAGCAGCATATCCCACGAGGACTGCAGGTGCTGTCCCAGAGCAGACAGGTATGGCAGATCAAACTGCTGTAGCTGTTAAAATGACAAAAAGTGACCCCAAGGCAGGTAGCTGCGGATATGAAAACACTGAAAGAAAACACAACAGTAGAGTGGAGTGTAGGACTTAAAAAAACTGCTTCAAATTTTGAATTAAATAGTAATTAAGTGGTAAGTTGATTAGAGCTTGTGCTCCACCAGCTTTTATTCAATACACATGGGACACCTCCTTGATGAACATTTAATCATGCCAGCATGGGCATTTAATCAAATTGCCCAGTAGAATGGTAAGACAAAGATGCAATTGGCAGCATTAACATCAGTCCATAATCTTGAGGAAGATGGAGTCTAGAATGGGGAGCTGTTTGAACGTCAGCAGGAGATGATACCATGTACCAACCACCCACTCCCAACACAGCACAGGTAGCTTCATTGTCCCTGGCAGCCCCGAGGCTGAGTCAGGCTCCTTGGACAGTGGATGAATTAGGAGAGCTAGCGGCACAAATGCACCCCCACGATTCACAGCAAACTCCCATATGGTAAAATGCAGGGGAAGAAGCAATTTACAGAGTTGCTTTCACATTAAGAGACAAACAATATACCTTTACTTGCATCCCACAGGGCTAAGCACCTGCCCTGCTGCACATGCTTGCGTTACAAAAGTGTTTGAATGATGGTATCCAGGGACAAAGAAAAGAAATTGTCTTATGTGGAAGATATTTGGGGGACTTCAGCTACGAAAGAAGAGGTACAAGAGAGAAGTGGCTGGGTTTTAAAATTAATAGAGCAAACAGGATTTAAAGTCGATTCGAATATGGCACAATCAACGCAACCCCAGGTTAGCTGCTTGGGGACTGAAACTGATGAAACAAGAAGATGGATAAGTGCTAGAAAGGTTAAGCTTTCTGTGAAATAAAGATTCCCACTAATCGGTCCCAACTCTGAAGCGCGCTGGGAGGATTTAATTTCTTATGGCAGCATATCTATAACTGTATTAGTATCTTATGGCGGGTATCCATCTTTGCTAGTACCAGCCGAGCATTATGGAAATGTCAGGAAAAGAATCAGGAAGGGAGCTGTAGCAAAGAGCAAGATGATGCTTTATCTAACATGAAAGAAGCTGCTTGAAAAGCTCCTGCACTAAAATTCTCAGTGAAAAGAAAATTATTCGTAATACGAGTTTCAACCTGAGCTGATTCTCTGGGAGCAGTAATGTTACAGAAAAATAGTGAAGGAAAATGGATACCAGTAACGTAGTCCTCCCCTCTCCAGGGGCTGGACCAAATTACCTTGGCCATGAGAAATCCTGGTTAGAGGCAGTCTGGGCTGTGAAAGTCTTCGAGACGTTCCTCCTCAATAGTCCAGTTGTACCCCAGTCTACTCATACTCTGAAGAAATTTTTTTTTTACAAGCTTAGAGGGAGAGTGGGAATAAAATATATGTAAAGAATGTTAAAGTACATGAGAAGACTGAAAGCAATAGTGAGAAACAATTCAGTGAGCAGGCAGGTAATTGACGCAGAGTTTGTTTATCGCAGCTCCAACCAGGAATCAGCTAAAACAGAAGATGAGATGGATACCGTGGCTGGGTGAAGGAGAGCACGTTGTCTTAGACTGTCATAATAAGGTACATAAAGGAGTACAGGGTACTCTGAAAAGAGTGCAAAGAATTTATATTTGGCCCCAAATGAAGCAAGAAATAAAAGACGTCATAAATAAAAACTGCATAAGGTGTGCAATGATGCAAAAGTGGACTAGTATAAGAAAGCTGCCAACTGTACTGCATTGGCTAAACAAAGGATTTTGGCAAAGGGATCATCCAGATAAACTGTAACAAACTAAAGAAGGGTAATAGGTTCTCTTTGTCACCATAAATATCTTTCCAGCATGGGTTGAGGCTCTTCAACCTAAAAGCAATACAACCACTGGAACTGTTATAATGCTTTTAAAGAAAGTTGTTTGTAGGTATGGAACAGCAGCTGAGAAAGGATGAGACAAAGAGCAGGGGAGGTTGTAAGTGAAGTAAATTGAGCCTTAATGAGTAACCTGGGGATTAAGCAAGGACTGCATATACCGTACCTCCAGACTGGCAGAAAGAAATGAGTCAGACTATTAAAAATAGACTAAAGAAAACTGTAGAACAATATCCAAAACGATGGGCTGAAAAGTTAACTTCAGTATTAGTAGCTTTAAGTAACAGTGACAGATTAAGGACTGGTTTACAACCCTATCATATTTTGTTTGGATAGCCAGTTCCTTTGTGGCCCTACGTGCAAGATCCTAAAATATTATGGCAGGGTAAAGAAGAAAACAAGGCTTGGGAAGAAGAAGTAATAGGAGAAAAAAAAGTAAAATGAGAAGGGAAGAATCCAATTCATATACGGCTTATGAAATAAGGGGCCAAGAAATGTATTTGAAACCAGATAAAAAGGAACAATCCTTAGAGAAAAAATGGAAGGGGACCTATTATGTTACTAATAGGATACGTCCTCTAAGTTATTAAATAGATGAGGGCAATAGTAAATACAAACGGGTTCGTGTTTCTCAGATATCCCCCTAAGGGGCAAAAAAATTCTGGAATCTGTCATGACTTTGTCAAGAGCACAGACACAGAAAATGCCCCAGAGAGGAACCTTCGGCGCCTGTTCAGCCTGATCCCCCACACTCGCAGCTCTCCCCGGCACAACCTCATCTCTGGGAAGCCAGGGCTGCAGCCCACGTGGTGTTTACCTCCTGCACGGCTGCAGTAGATCTGTTTATATGCTCGCATACTAACGGGGCTGGTTTATGCTTGGAGTTTTGCTTATTTTCTATTTTCGTAGGGCAACAGATTTTACTACAGCTCCTCGAACAAGCAACAGCTGACAGAGTCACGGAGCAGCAATGCAGACTCTGAGGCAAGGCGGAGGAGTTGAGGGCTCCTGCTATTGCGAGTATTTTTAACTTAGCTTTTTCACTCCATATTAACAGCTTTAGTCTTTTTATAAATTGCATTAATTTTAGACATTTAACAAGGCAGATAATGACTGTGACGTGCTTTGAAGAAGTAGAGGTGACCACCTTCTGGGTTTCGAGGCCAGACCAGAAAGTGATCACCTTCATGGAGACTCCCTGCTCAGTCCTGATCAGGAGCCTGGCATTGCTGAAGGGTTTGCAGCATCCGTGCTGCACTCCTGGGCAGTAACCCAGAAGTTAGAGACTACCAAAGGAGAGGAGGAACAGCGATCTGCAGGCCAGTAACATGGCATTGCTATTGCTAACAAGGCCATAAGCTGTGCATTAACTATACAGGCTTCATTGTTACATCTTGCTTTTTTGGAGCTTTATTTTCTTGATTTCAGTCTGTTTTACTGCAGTCACCAATCAGATTTTCATGGCTAGATAGCTAACCTATGACCTAACTTGCCTGAGTCTTGCATAGCTTGCTCCAGCTACTTAATCTAATAATAATAACTTAAGACCCTGAATTAAAAATTGTTACAGCTCTTAAGGGAGCCTTGAGAGTTACAGCTCAAGATCTGGATCCACCCAGATTGGGAAATCACAGCTGAAGCTTTGGAAAAGTGCTCTAAAATTACAATAACTGAATGAACTCAGTAGTTTTATTCATTTACGGGACAATCCTCTGAGGAGGAACAACTCGAGGAGAAGCAGCTAGCCCTAGTGTTGAACTGCTGATTTCAGTAATGGTCTTTTAAGCAGTTTAAGAGAGGTGTCAAATAAGAAAGGAAACAGAAAGGAGGGATTGAAGCAGGTGGGAGACTAAGTGCTGCCAGTATCTAAGTAGTTAAAATTTGAGAGAACTGGTATGTGATGGTTTGAAATGGGATAAAGTGTAGTGGATTGTAAACTACTATGACTGAACCACAATAGAAGTAACGCTGGAAAGCAATGGTATATATAAGTATTGGAGGATACTTACACCTACAAGCCAAAATTTGACTGCTAAGCCTTGCATTTCTTTGAAGAAGAAATTATAAAAATCATATATAGTGGATAAGAATGGTAAAAGTCTATACAGAAATGTTATAACTGATCATGCAAACAAGTATGTGTAATTCTCCCCTTCACTGTCCCCCACAGCTGTTTAGCTGCCTCCACACATCCCAAGCCCAGCTCTGATACTGCACAGCTGCATAACCTTGGGCCAAACTTCTGAGCAAACCGCTAAGTTATGAGACAGCCTGCAAGAAGATAAGAAGGGCAAAAGCAGGGGGAGGAAAGCTGAGAGCTTTGGGTCAAATCAAGCCATTAATATCTACAGTGAAAGCTGGATGAAACTGGGTTTGAGCGTTCTAACCATGTGTTACCTTTCACAGAAATGGCCAACAATAGTGTTAATCACACACCTGAGCTACATCCGGTGACAGTGATTTGGGGATATCTAAGAACAAGACAAAGCTGTCTGTACCTGTGTAATAGGCTGGAAAAGTGAAAACACGTGAAATCCTCCCAAGGACTGGCAGACTCAAGACACCAGTGACTCCACTCAGTCTGCAATAACCAATAAACTCAGGACACCAAGAAGATGCCAAGGCTGCCCAGGGCCACCTCCTGCCATGCAGGAGCATCAACAGCTGTGACTGCTATCTGCTGTGAAGGATGGTAGCTGGGATCTGGAGCACTCCCTGCTGTGGCAGCTTTTAAAAGAGGGCTTGAAGGGGATGCCCATGCTCTGATGTGGGGTGGACAGGGCTTGCTCTGTGGTGCTTGTGCTGGGGAGGATGCAGGTGGATCAGGGCTGCTCTATGCCAGACAGGCAACTCCTGGCTTAGGTCAATTTAGAGGTTCAGGGGAGCTACAACGCAGCCAGATGGGGTGGTGCAGTGCAGATTAGGGGTTCATGCCTAAGCATCCCCCCTGTGTAAGAAGTTGAGGGGAGGCTTGGAACTGAAATTTCAAACCTTGTAGGGTTGATTCAGGCAGAAAAACTTCTAGAGCAGCTCTGCATTTCAAAGTGTACAAGACTATAAGAGGCAGGAGATGGTGAGGACTGAGGAGTTCTTCATGAAGTTGCTATAGGAGTTGCTCTGGGGCTAAAAAAGCAGAATAATTTACTCTCTCAAACTGCAAAAAATAGATTTTATCTCTCTCTCTCTCTTTTTTTTCTTTTAAATAAAGATGCTTTTCTTCTCTTCCTTACACCCAGGAGGTTAGCACACAGCTCTTGATTTCAACTTTGTAGCCTGGCCATGTTTTTGGTCTGTGCTAAATCACGAGAAAAGCTACCCAAAACACCAGCAGGCCTTAGGTCCATCCCTCTGCCCTCCTCCGAGCTGGCCCTACATACAAAAGTGGAAAGCTGTCGGGGTTGTGTGATGACAGGCAGCAGTGCAAGTGTTTGGAGAAGACAGGTAGGAGTTATCAGCTGGGAACTAGGCGAGGGCAGAGCGGGCAGGTTTGGGGCTGCAAGGGAAGAGGAGAAGGAAAGAGCCCAGTTCTCATATTAACTGATAACGTTGAGCGCATTAATCAGTGAGTGAAGCTCATCCCTTACACTCTCCAGGGAGTGACAGATCGTCTGAGGGCTGTCCAGGAGCTCGATGCTGTGGGTGTAGGGCTCGTACTTCACCGAGAAGGGCCGCTTGATATGTGCTGCGTAGCTCCTGCAAGGAAAGGGTGCAGAGGGGTTGGTACAAAAGATGGGTCCTGAGTCTGCCTCCGACCATCACCATTCACCCAGATCACAACAGGCTAATACCTCCTTTAGGCAAAGTCTCTAGGTTAGCACAAAAGCTCTAGTTTCTCACCTTTCCAGATCCACAGGGCTATAGCAGCAGTTGAGATCTCTCCCATTCAGCCAGGAAGATCATGAGTTTGACTTTGGGTTTCTATGGGCTTGCATCAAGAGGGAGGGTACACAGAACTCAGTCACCTCTGTGGCCATCACCAGGCACCCTCTACTTCAATTTCATTTTTTCTTTTTCAAAAATGCCAAGGAGATTTAGAAACTAATTGCAGGGAAAGCCTGTGGCATTATAGTATTATATTCCTAAATCCTTTCTGACATTCATTTATTGACAAATCTCTGCTTGGGGAGGGGGCAATAGCTGCAAGGTGTATTAGGAATGAATTTGACAGGCAATAGCTCAGACCTGGACAACGGGAGGGAAATAGCACTACTGGAGCCACGCGGCTGAGCAACGTTGCATTATCATAGTCATAGTCAAAAGCCAACTGGAGTCCAAATCTCAGTGATGCCCCTGACTTTGCCTGATACCTCTCAAGAGGTAGACCTTGTTGCTACCTTTATAATGGAAAAGCATACAGTCAAGTGAAACAAATCATGGGTAAGGTTTCCCCCAAGTTTCTCCCGTTCACCTCCAACACTAAGATTTGTACAGTAGACAAAGTAGGTTTTGGGCTTTTTTTCTTTAGTGGCTGTGTAAATATGGAGCGGGGAATCTGTATTTAGGCACTCATGGCTACAGTCTCATGCTGGAAAGGCCTGGGAAGATGAGGGGACAAATAGGACTGGCAAAAGCCATGCTCCTCGCCTCTGCTGGGGAGTCACCCTGTCGCTCCTGAATTGCTTAGCTTAGGGCACCCTCTTGTGGCTGCTGCGGGTCTGCTCCGGCGCAGGGCTCGGGGAAGCGCATCCCCCTCTCAGGTGCTCCCCAGGCTGGGGAGCCTGGTCCTTGAATGGCCGGCTTCTGGGGAAAACACCACCAGGTGCTCCCAAAACACCTGGTGGGGCCATCGACAACATGGCCAAAGCCGCGGGCTGGTGCTTGCAGGGAGGGAGCTGCCGTGTTCGCAAGAAAAACAAAACTAAACACAAACAGAGGGGGTTTTCTGCATAATCACGTTGTCCAGCTCCTAAAAGCAGCTTACTTCAGCGCCCCAGCTCTCCCAGGCAAGGGTCAGCTCACCTCGGTTATTAATGTTACCAGCCACAGTGATGACCTGTAGAACAGCTGCTAATGATTAGAAACTTGCCCTCCAACACAGGTGTGTTCACTTGACACCTTTTGAAGCATAAAAGTAAACATCAGTCCCTGGAAGGGCATGGTGAGGGGTGGGATGTCCACCATATGAAGCTGATGGGAAGTTTTCTTTCTGGGAAAAATAGGCTTTCCTTGAGGGTTATCACTGATAATCAGATCCGTGGTGGCAACTGCCAGTAATGCAAAAAATATAGAAGTTTTAATGTTTTCACCTCACAGACTAACATCTGTGTGGTCTCTGAGCTCTTTAAAAAGGATAATTTACAGCGCTTGTCACTGTCAAAACCCTCTAGCCTAATCTTGGCCGTGCATGTGGTATATTTTTGCTTTTTAAATGCAAGGAAATGACTCATTAGGCAACAGTTGGGTTGGTTTTTTTTAAAGCAGCCTGGTGTGTGTTAGAGGACGGGCTCCCCAGGTGCTTGCTTTTGAGCAGCTGGACTCTGGGTTGTAAGAACAGTGCAAGTGATGGTAATAAAAGCAGAAGTTGAAATACAGCAGTCCTCACTGCGTTATTTATATAAAATACCCCACTTGCAGGAACTGCAAAGTCATGTACATGGTGTAATACTTCATTTCATCCTACCCCTTTCATAAGCTAAGGTAAAATGATACAGGCAGAATTTTCCTCTGTCAGTCAAATATTAAAGGACTGAGCTTTCCACCTGTGGGCAATTCTGGCTACGGCCAAGAAAATCCTTCTCTGAACAGGTGTCTGTGAGTAATGCTGTCCTTCTCCACCCTGTTTGCAGTCCCATGGGATGGGGAAACTCAATTACACTGGTGGGATGCTGCCTGTGGTCTGCTAACCCATGTCAACTAGCCTAGGAAGCAAAAGTTCTGTTTGTTCCATGGATAAATCTATCCCCATCACGCAATCTTTTTAGTTTGTGTACAAGCTACTACCAATGCCTGGGATTTTTTTGCTGGTTGAATGATAAATGGGTAAGTTGTCCAGCAGCTGCTCAGAAAGACATCTTTCTCCAACCTAAATTCAGAGAATGCCACTGCTTTGAGCAGGTCTTCACCTCTCTCCTAAAGCCTCCACCCACAGAGCTTACTTTTACATGACACAGAAGCACAGGTTTCAGAAGGAGACATACAGGTGAGATGTTCCCATGAGAGACAGCTAGTATCTGACCTATGTCACTTGGCCCTTCTGCAGCAAAGAAGCAGAGGGGACTTGGGTGGCTTGAGTCTCCAATTTCTGGACCACCAGACTTCTGTTATGTTGCTTGGCCTCCCTAGGGAATTGGAGATGGACTGTAAATCCTTCCTATGAAAACTAGGCAGATGACATAGATTTGTCCCTTCTCGTTCCCTCAGTCTTGTCTCCAAGATTGCCCCCCACTCCATCCCAATCCTCCACACTCATACCCTTGAGTCCAGCATATTTTGGGGGGGCTCTTGGGTGAATCCAAGAGACTGAAGTTGGAACCTGTAGGAATTGGAGAATCACTTTACTTTGAAAGGCCTTACAACAGCTGCCAGAGGACTTCTGAGACCTTGAACTGAAAGCAGCCATGGTGTCAAGCCCCGTTTCAATATATTATAGACTCATTTCCTTCTGTTTGGGTCTCCCTTACTGTCCAGTCCTACCTCAGTTTACTTTTGGCATCGCTGAAGCTCTCGGACACAAAATATACAGGCTGGTAGTTCTGGTCCTGGTAGGGTTGAACGGCAGCAGCATCAGGGTCGAAGTCCCGCACCTCTGGTTCATCTGACAAGGAGTGCTATGGACACAGCAGAAAAATGCCAGCATGAAATTAAGGGGACTGGAGAGCACATATGCAAAATACAGAGGTGGAGAACAGATCAGATAAAGTCTTTGGATCCATGCAGGGGAAGTTTTTATGCTGTACAGGGTCTAGAGCATAGAGGCAAGTTATACTGGGACTTACTATGAGCTCCCCATAGGAGGACAGGAGTCCGGCTCCATAGGCTTTAACTATCCCGTTCTGTCTGCAGAGCCCAAACTCCACTGTAAACCAGTAAAGCTGTGAAAGGAGAAAGAAAAGCACATTAGGGGTACAGCTCCTTATCTTCATCTCCCTGTCACTTCTGAGCCCTTACATCACGGCTGGGATCTGGGGTTGTTCAAATGAACCGGTGCCTGGCACTTTGTCCCCTCTCCTTACACTGCTCCCATCGCTGCCAGAGAAAAGTGCTAAACTAAGCTGCTGCCATCCTGGGACAGAAGGAAACTGTGTCCCTGGGCTGGTCCCCAGGCTGGTCCCCTGCATGTGTGGCTGCTGTGCAGTGCTGCCATTCTGTGCCCTTGGGCCAGGATGGGTCACCTTGCTGAGGGACACCCAAAGGAAGCAGATGTCATTTAATCCCATCCTGAAGAGTCGCAGCAGTGCTGTCATTAGAAATACGATGCTTGATGATACTCTGGTGCCCAAGAAAATTGGGCTAATGTGCAAGTGAGCTCTGCTGTTTACCTGATCTCTGCTCTGCACGGTCATCATGAAAGAGCAGGGCTGGGGCAGCTCGTGTAGGGGCTCTGAGCTTGAAAACTTGGGGAGATCAGGCTGGACCAGTCCCCCTGATACTGTAGAAGTGCTGCTGAAGGGGTTGAGGCCCTCGTACAGCGAAAAGGAAAACTTACCGTTGCAAGCTTCTCGATCTCTTCATCAGTTGCTCCAAGAGACGCCAGCCCAATGTCCTGGCAAGAAAAGGGAAGTGGCAAACATCAGGACAGATTTGGTCTGAAGGTCTTATGCATGGACTGCTCTGTTTTATGGCCTTAAGACTACAGATATTGTTGCCCTGCCCTGCCATGCATTCATTAGACTTCATCGTACTCTGACAAAAACATTTTGCTGCTGAGTCTGATATTTATGTGTTAGGGCTCTCGGTCCATCACTAGGGCTCCTGAACATCATGTTTAATATAAATAAATCCTGGAACAAGAAGTGTGTACGTGGTAAGACTCAGGTCAGTATGGTTCCCACCTCCTGTCATTCCCTCTTGGGGGTGAGAAACCAGATGACCACATTACCTGAGAGAACTGGGCAAATGTCTTGTCGGCCAGCATTGGGACGTGCCCCAGCAGCTCATGACAGCAATCCCTGCCGATGCCCAGGGGAAAAGAAGGAAAATGCAGTCAACAGCAGATCGAGTTTTTTCCGTTAGGGAGATAGATTAATTGCTGGCAGGTTGGGATGTCCGGGCAGGGGAGGCCATTGAGGTTGGGCAATACTCACGGCTCAGGGGAGTGCATGGGCGAGGATGCATGGCGGATGTACTGTGTGCACTGGAAGACACGGAAGGCCAGGCTGGCAAGGAAGTCCCGCGCCGACAGCAAGCCAGCCACTGGCCGGAGCTGGAAACCAGTCCTCTCTGAAACAGTGCATACCATCTCTGTGGGTGTGCATGGCCCACTGGCTGTGCTGGTGTCCCATGTTCCCAACACAGCAAAAGCATCAGTGCTGCAAGCTAAAGGGCTTCTGCTGTGCCAAGCCTGATCTTTTTGCTCCTACTAGGGAGCAACATTTGCTCTTCAGGTGCCCAGTGGGATTGTTTGACTATGGGCTTGACCTTCAGTCGCTTCCCACTGTATTTAGCTGCAGTCCCCACCACCTGGGGTCTACCCTTGTCCTCTGTGGCCATTGTACAAGCCCCCACCAGCTCTCCTCCCAAATCTCAGCTCACATGCTCCTCCAGGTTCAAGTTTCTTGGCTGTAGCTGCCATCACTCTGCTGGAGCCCTGGACTGAGTCTCCCAGGCTTGTACCCACCTTTCAGGAAGCGGGAGACCTCCTCCAGCTGAGGGATGTTGTTCTCATTGTAACCACAGAATTTCTCCAGCAGATTGAAAGCTTCCAGGTACTCCTTGCAGGCATGGGTGGGGTACAGGCTCTTCAGGGTGCTGTACACTTCCTTCCTTCAGGATGAGAAGTGGTAGACATTCAGTGGCCTGATGTGTCTAGTCCTCTCCTGTCATCTAATTATATACTATCAAGGACTCATAGGACTCAAAGACATTTCTTGTCCTTTTGCCGTTCTCCAGCACTAAGTCTATGTCTGTGCACATTGATAGGGGTATGTAAACATACAGACACACAATGAGCCTGCAAGATCAGCAGTTGTATCTGCACAGACCTATTTCTGACCTTGAAAGTCAGAAGATTGTGTAAAATGTATTAACTGGAATTAAAATATTCCCTGTAGGTTAGCTCCTGAAGTTGCACTATGAAGACAGTCAATATAACCAGAAGATGACCTTATTTAGGAGCCTGTGTACTCAGCTCACATGAGCTGGCCTTGTTTTCAGAGACAATCCTACAGCAACACTCCTGGAAATAACCATGTTCAAAGGAAAGCATTTTCCTAAGGGAGGCCAGCCAGGTACCATGCAGATACTCACCAAGGGCCTTGTACTTCTTTCTGCCACGGTAATAACTATCCTTTGTTTGGAGGCTGCTACTAAGCTCTCCCCCTAGAGAAGTGGGACTCTAAATTATCTATCTCACTCTCTGGGGAGGCTCCTTTGAAGGAAACTCCTGGGGGCTGCAGCATGAAAGCTCAGCCCCAAGAGAGGAGACAGAGCATCACTGTTTTAGGGGTAGCTTGCTATCCTGAATGCAATCCCTGCCATAAAACGCCCTGCAATGAGTTACTGGGTTTTATAACAAAACCATTAAGTAGGATGTTTGCACTCCTGATACATTTTTCAAGAGGTCACGCCCTAACTGTTTAGGTTTTGATTCCCACCTTCTAGTGGTGAAGCCAATAAAGGTCACAGATTAAATCAGCGCTCACCAGGTAGCGATCTCCTCGGCTGTGTACTCCACACGAGGGATTGGGTCCCCGCTGCAAGGCAAAGGCACTGTTACAGACAGCAGCAGAGCACAAGCCAGGCTCCTCTTCCCTTTGAAAAGGAAGCACTTTGGAGAAGCTCTGCCTGATGCTGATGAATCTTCTTTAAACCAAACAAGGTGGTGACAGGAAAGAGAAAGCCCTAGTACTGGGTCATTTGTACAGGTGCAACAAATACGTAGAGAGAAAAGCATTAAACTAGCCAGAGGATATAAATGAACAAGGGATGAACAAAACCTTAGCAGGAATAATATCTTCCAGAAGAAAATCTGGTTTTCACTGGAAAAAATTGAAACTTTGTGTGAAAATAAATGAATTTCATATGCCTGAACTTAAGGGGGATGATAACTCCAAGAACGAATCAGTGGCTGGGAAAGAAAAGCAGCTAATAAGGAAAACTAAATGCATTTGAAATGCAGAAAAATATATTGTCAATAAGATTAAGGACAGCAGGGAAAGAAAAGCATAACATTGATATAAGTGGGAACCAAACAAGACTGACAGTTTTGCCTTTTCTGTATCATAATTAGCAATTGTATTTCCTAAATCCTGTGTTCTGTATTTGAACAAATGAGATATTCACATATTATAACAATAAAACATAGTTACGTTTCGGTTAACAGCCTGAAGGGATGCTACACCGTGGCTCATAAACGCTAACCTGCAGATGAGATGTGACAGAAGACATATCTTAAGTAGGTGCATCATCTTAGGACAGTATTTCTTTCTGTGTCCCTTAGGACTCTCTTCCCAGCACAGTGACTTTCTGTGCATTTAGTATTAGTATAGGATAGAAACATTAATGTCTATATTCCAGGCTTCAAATCTGCAGAGAACGTGAAACCTAAGAGAGCAGAAAGACATACTGGGATCACACTGGTTGCAGGGGTAGCTCAAGAAGGTGACCCATATAATTTCTATAGCCTGCTTCCAGCTCACTACACAGAAATCTACTTTTAAGTCCTGCTCAGAGAGGGAGATGCTACAGTAGAAGGCAGTGTTACTGAATAGGATCTAGGGAGTATTTTACAAACCCAACTGAATATTAGAGCTCTGTTTGATGTTGTAGGGAAGAGGCTGAGTGCTATCATTGCATATATCAGAATGGAAGTATTAAGCAGGAGTACAAGAGAGCCTTAAATCTATATAAGACAATGATGAGGCCACTACTAGAATCTATTTAATTTATCAGAGAGAGTTAGGAGGTGAATCATTTAGTCTATAAATACCCTCATAGCAAAAAAAAACCTGATAGCAGAATTCAATCTAGTAGATGAAAGACATGTATGATCCACTGGGTGAAAGCTAAAGCTACTGAAGTTAAGTCTAGAAATAAAACCCACATTTTTTCACAGCCAGGATAATGAACCATGGGAACAAGTTTTCTGGGCACGTGGTAGCTTTTTCAGTACTTGAAACACTGAAGCTCAAACTAGGTATCATTCTAAAAGAGATGCTACATTTCAAAATGAAGTGTGAGGTCTGATGGAATAATACATGGCTTTTGTTATGCAGGAGGTGTGTTCTGGCTTTATCAATATATGAATTAATGTCCACAGCCATTTTTTTCATTAAAAAACTGGAACACACAGAGAGAAGAGGGACACAAAAAGACCTGGCAAGGCTGAATGGAGAGACAAAACATAAAAGAAGAAAAGTCTCGTGAAGGTAGCATAATGACTTCCCAACAGGTTGCACTGGCACAGCATTATCCCTGCACGAATGTTATGAGACTTACTGCTTATAGTGAAAAGCAATTTCTGCTATTGATTTCCTTCTCTGGCGATATACTTGATCAGAGTAGCCCTGTAATGAAAAAGAGGAACAGAGACAAGATTTTTAATCAGTCATTAAAATTTCTCACCCAACAAAGTTTATCGCTTGCTGGAGAAACTTCTGTCATGGTGGTGATTGCATACAGTTCCCTGGTCAACTGCACTAATAGGTGTTCTCCAGCTCCCTGCTTCTGCAGGAAGGCTCAGGACTCCAACATGAGGATGTGCCCACACAGACTAACTCACCGGGTGATCCAGATCCAAGTCAGGGTCGAACTTGGTGACCAAATGGTGGCACTTGTCCAATTCACAGATTTTTCTGGGGAACCAGTGAACTGTGGGGAGAAAGAAAGAGAAAAATTGCCTGTGGAAGTGAAGATGGAGCATCCCCTGCTAGGAAGGGGTTGTGAAGTTGAATAAAATAGATCTGACCTGGTGTACCAAATGCACACACATGATAAACAGCACATGACGCAACTGTGCCTTCTGGGCTCTCAATGCTCTTATCCTAGAGTCAGGTCTAATGCCATAATCTCCATCTCATGAATTCCCTGCCCATCTCTCAGCAGAGTATTTTATGACAAAAGTAAACAGATGAAAACTTGATTTTACTTATAGACTTCACATTAAAAACAAATCCAGAGGTCCAACTGAGTGATGACTGTAGATCTCTAGGGATATTTTACAATAAGAATCACCCTGTATTCAGAACTGGATGGGAGGGGGAGAGTCTTGTAGTTTAGTGCTGGATCTGTACAGAGTTTCTGACACACAGGTAGGAAACTACATTTATAATATAAAACACTGGAATAGGGATGGAGAACTCTGTAAGATAGGTATGAACAAAGCATGAAATTTCATCTCCTATTCTGTTTTTTTCAATCTGGCCCCAGAATAATGGGCTATGGATTGTGGAGTTTGTTGAGAAATGGACAGGGAGGGAAGAGGCTTTCAGGATTCAGGTGTCCCTGAGGCAGTCTTTTCTGTTTTGCTTAAATTCAGCATAGAGTAGACCTTCCTTTTTTCTGGGAATAACAAAGTCTCCACCCTGTTTGTACAGCTCAGCCTCTCTGTAAAAATGAAAAAATTCATGAGTTTCTTACATTTGTCTTCCTTAGTGGTCCTCACATCTTCTGCTACCCTCTTGATGGAGCTAATGAAAGTATTGAGGTCAGAGCTGTGGACTTCACAGCGCACAAAGTACTCCAGTTCAGCGGTCCCTTCACGGGGCTTCCGGCTAAGCCTGGTCTCCAGGTGGTGAATTTTAGCTTCAAACGTCTTTCAGGATATGGAAAGGGAGAACAAAAATATTAAACAACACTTGAAAGACCTTCTGGTACTTCCCAAAGATGTCCATATAGATACATTTGGGAGGGATTCCCCCTTGTCTTTTTCTTCTTCTCCCCACCCTCCCTCCCCCCAGGATAAACACACTTTTCCGTTAGTTCCACAGTTTTTCCTTCTGGACAGACACACAGTGGTCAATAGCTATCAACAAGACTTCCACAGTTGCAAAGAATCAGACTCATAGAATAGTTTAGGTTGGATGGGACCTTAAAGATCATCCAGTTGCAACCCCCCTGCCATGGGCAGGGACACCTCCCACTAGACCAGGTTGCCTAAAGCCCCATCCAGCACCTCCAGGGATGGGGCATCCACAACTTCTCTGGGCAACCTGTTTCAGTGCCTCACCACCCCCATAGTGAAAAATTTCTTCCTGATACCTAATCCAAATCTTCCCTCTTTCACCTAAAACCCATTATCCTTTGTGCTATTGCTACGTTCCCTGATAAAAAGTCCCTCCTCATCTCTCCTGTAGGCCCCCTTTAGGCACTGGAAGGCTGCTATGACATCTCCCCGGAGCCTTGTCCTCTCCAGACTGAACAACCCCAACTTTCAGCCTGTCTTCACAGGAGAGGTGCTCCACTCCACTTCTCCCTGGGAAGAAGATGGTATCCAGAGGGGAAACTGATGCGGCAAGATGCCCCTTCCTTTGACCCTCTCTCTTTTAACCTCCCGCTTCAGGCGAAGGTGCCCTGTGCTGCTGGGGGAGGAAGGCCTTGGCCATGACCTAGAGGGGCGGGAGCTGCCCGGGCGTGGGCGGGCGGCGGGGCGCTGGCCGTGGTGCTGAACCGGCGGGGCCGGACCCTGCCCAGTCTGCTGCGGCGTTATTCTGGGGCTCACCCTGCCAACCGGGGTCCTGTGGGCTCACTGTCAGAACTGAGCTGCCCCAAAGAATAAGGAGGAGACAAAAGGGAGTCTATAGTCTTCCCAAACGCCCTGGTAGATTTGTGGATATTTTCTTTCGCTCAGTGAAAACTGGCGGTACAAACTCAAGTCCCTGGGCAATGACCCAACCTTTCCAAAGTCTATGTAAGATCTTTGGTAGAGGAAGGGACACGATTTCTCTTGTTAATCAGAGGCAGAAAGATGAGAAGGAGCAGATGCGATGCCACAGGTAAATTAAATTTGGGACCGTGTTTTTTAATGTACCTACCGAATTCAGTATTACATTGTCCCCTCAACAATCAATACCTTTGCATTAATCTGACAGCTGTGATTGCATTACCTATGCTTTGGCTGCATGTAACACATACAGAAGAGTGAAACCAGCTTCCCTGCAGCCTGGTTCATGATGAGGCAAATGTCATTATGCTTGTCTGCTTTCATATCTTGTACCTGCATTGCCAGAGGGATCTGGGAAATGAATCTTCTTCTGTTGTGGCTTGACATGCTTGTCTTTTTATTATATTTAAAGCTCTCTCTGCGACAAGCTCAAAGAGCTTTTTTGCTACAAAAGCTCTTGATGCAGCAAGTAAATTGCTCCAGGAAGAAACAAATAATATTTGAACATAAGCTGCCTCTGCTTCTTGCTTGATGCTCTAAAAATTGTTTAAATTATAGACTTTAAATGCAGTGTAACATAAAATCTACAAGAGCCTACACTTCTATGTTTCTTACCCACTAAGCAGTCTGTTGCACTTGAAATGTTACACTGGTGAATTTTTCATGCCTTATCTGGCAGCTGTGCACTTCTAGGAAGGGTACCCCAACCATGGCAATACCAAGGCTTTTGTCTGACAAGCTTGCCTTAGAGATTCTTCCAGTCTTGAGAAAAGAACCATATGCTGCCCAGAAAATAGCTTGTCTTGCAACAGTCCTCTAAGAGGAGATGCAAGACATTTTGTAATCGCTGAAGATCTTAAACACTTTTCATAAGATTATCAGAGCTAGTACTGCATGGGCAATGAATAGCTAGAATGTGCTACAATTTCAGGGAAATACTTACCCCTCAAACACACTTTGTTTATGTTTACAGCTGTTAGGTAGTGGTTTTGCTGTATAGTGTTGCTGGTGAACTCTTTATACCCCAGAAGTGGTTGCATTTCATGTGGAAGGTGTTATATCACTAGCATGTGCATTAATATATGAGCTAGCAGCATGCCCTTGTGACAAGAAAGGCCAACCACATACTGAACTGTAGATCTGGTGATGAGGACTGAGGCTTTAGAATTGAATTTTGACAACAGGTCAAAGGAAGTGATCCTTCCTCTCTATCTGGGATGGGGGAGAGTACATCTGGAGTACCTTGTCCCATAGAAAGAAGACATTGATGTGCTGTAGCAGGTAGAGTGGAGAGCTGCCATGATGCTCAGGGTTCTGGAGCACAACGTTGTATGAAGAAAGACTGAGGAAATTGGATTTATTCAGCCTTAAGAAATGAAGGGGCAGGAGAGATCTGTTCATTGGCTAGTAGTAACTGGTGGGAGGGTGTAAAGAAAACAGAGCCAGACTCACCTGAAAAGTACACCGTGGGAGGACAAGAGGCAATGGGTACAGGCTGGAAGCAAGGACATTAAAATAAAAAAGAAAAATCTTTTTGCATGAAGGCAGTCAAACACTGCTCAAGTGGTCCGAGGGTACTGTGGGACTTCTAGCTTGGTGATATTCAACACGCAACAAGCACAGCCCCAAGCAACCTGATGTGACTGGACCTGCTCTGAGCAGAAGGTTGGACTAGAGACCTCCAGAGGCCCTTTACAACCCACATGACTGATTAATAGGAACAAATTGTCCTTTCCTCTCACTGCTGAAGCAATGAAATTAAACTACTGTAGATAAAACATATCTCAGAACCTCAGTTTGCAAAACACTTTTGAATTCTTCAAAAATGACGATGAAAATGAAAATGTACTACATAAATGCAAGTTATCATGCTTTGATTACTGTTAAAATAGGCAACACTTATCTCAGTCTTTCCATTCATGATACTGAGATTCTAGATAACGCAACATTCTATTGCTGGCGGGGGGGAAAAAGCTCAGTAAGTTACCAGTTTCCCTTGTTATTAAAGCCAAATACAGGGTACATCTCCAGGGAAACCAACAGAATCTCTAACATGTGAATCAAATTAGTCCTTGAAGTAGGGAGGTAATTTTGAAATCAATACACCAGTTTTACACCCAGGGTGAAGTTGTTCCTGTAACTCTTTGACCAAGGACCAATGTGGCAATGCCATTCAGAGACTGCAAAAGCCTTGATCCACAAGTAAGGCAGCTTCAATCTGTAGCCATACAGGGCATGTGGCTTGCTTTGAATGTGAGATCAGAGGCCTGTGCATGAAATGGAAGCGCTGAGCAGTGGAGGAGGCTGTCAGGGTACACTGCAAGACATGAGGGTTGTAAGTGTGAAACTGTGTGGCTGGATCCAGTAACGAAGTAAAGTTAAGCCCAGAGTTTAACATCATTACCAAACAGATGTATGGGTCATTCTCAGTGACGGAAAGTGAGGGCACACTGGGGCATGACCAAGACATGATAGTGGGGACATCAGAAAATTAATTATTGATTTGAAGCAGGCAGACCTACTCTGAGTCTTTTTTAGTAGACTCCAGTGATATTTCTCACAGAACAGCCATGAAACCTGCAGTCTGTTCCTTGAGTCCCATACAACAGGTTAGGTACTCACCTCAAATACCTTAAGTACACGGGACAGTGGTGAAGTCTTTGCTCCCTTGAGCATGAAGAAGAGGTTCAGCATGGCTCTCCCATCCTTCTCCTCAAAGACAATGGTCTCTGTAGACTCTGCAGCATCAGTGGCTGCAGCTGCAGCCTCTCTTTCCTTCCTGGCATCTTCAATCAGGCTTTGACGTCTACCAATGAACCGCGGAGACTGGAGGCAGAACAGAAACAAATAACACTTCTGATAGAGCTGTAGGGGAGATCAGAGGCATCCCCAGTAGCTGGATGAGGTGTGACCTATGTGTCTCAGCAGAGTAAGAATGGGAATGTTGGACAGACTTGCCTGGCTTGTAGAGGAAGATGTGGTGATGAGGACTAAGGCTTTAGAATTGAACTTTTGGAAATGTGGAGCTTTAGAAAAAAGTTGTTTAAAATAACCTTGTAGCATGACTAGAGAGTGGGCTTCTCCCCTCACCTTCCCCAGCAATAGTTTTCAATAGCCTTCAAAAATAAAAATAGGAAACAATCTTATGCAGTTTTCAAAAGTCTGATGGACTCAAGTGGAGAGGCATTAGACAAACCTGAAGTAATCTGAGAAAAGTTATGCTATGAGGGACAGCTGAAGCCTACAGCTGTGGCCTGGCCAGGAAACATCAACTGTTTGCAGGTGTACTCGCAGGGCAGATCCAACATGGCATTTTCTTCTGACATTAAGTGGATGCTTGCACACTGAAGTGTAATTGGAACCACATCCATAGACCTGGGAAAATAAATTCCTCCCACTGCTCCATAGATTTATTTTGTCCCAATAAACTTCTGTAGACTTCTGCTACTTGGAATTGCACCTAAAATGCTGCAACTCTTTGTCTGGGGTCATGTTAGGTCACTTGTTTATATTTATAGTGAGCTACAAACTATCTCCATTACTGCTGTTCTTTTGTTATACAAATAGTTCATATACTAACTTATTTGTTCTTGGTCTTTTACAACCAGTTTTTCATTTAGAGGCAGCTCAGCTGGTTCCAATTTTCTGTGTTCAATACCCAAACCAGATGACAAACCCTCAGAACTTGCTAAAAGAAACCTGGGGCAGCACTGCAGAAGCAGCAGCACATAAAGCCACCCAGCATCTGCGTATAGAGCAGGACTGGCTGCGGTTTTCCCTCTGATTGCATTGAAAATACCTGGAAAAGAGATGGATGCTAACCAAGTAGTGCCTTCCCTATCTTATGAAAATTTGGAGAATGTTTTCCTTTTAAAAAGACAGCCTGCTCAACGACTAAGCCCATTTTCTGTTTGATTTTCAAAGCCTACCGCCAGTAACTAATGTTTCCTGTGATAATCCTCTTGGATGCTTTAGAGGTGTAAAGCTAACATTTTAAATGCAGCCTGAAAAAGGCAGTACGTCTAGTCACCAGCCCACGCACTCCTGTCTGGTCCTTTTTTAATAAAGGACCTCCGAAGTGATATTTGCTGATCCTCAATCCCTTTATTCTTTGTGGCACAGAAAAACAAATTCTAACAAATAGACACATATTACTGCTTGTCTAAATGTACCGTATCCATGCCCAAAGAGAGAAGATATTATATATATATATATCCTAAGGCATAACTTCTAAAAGCTTGTGAGCATGTGTTCAGCTCTAAGTGTGTGTTTTATATCGCTACCACGTTTAAAGCTAAGCTGGTGTTTACTTTAAAGAGTCTGCAATAAGCAGGGCAAACAGCTTTGTGCTAGCCACAGTTACTGGGCTCTGCAGCCATCCCAAGCCAGGCGGTGCTTTGGGGAAGAATGTTTCATCACACTGTGCCCCAAGGCACAGAGGTGCAGCAGGATTTCACTTCTGGGGTGGAGTAGGGGAGAGGAGGGAAATTAGACCCCAATTTAGGCTGTAAATCAATTTAGAAATCTTACTGGAAGGAGATTAAATAGCAAGAAGACCTCTGTGGCTGGAAAGCCGCACTGGGAGAGGCAGCCCCCACAGCTCAGACTCGTGCTGGGACTGGGTGGCCCCCAGCAGTCAGGAGCAGGGGCTTTTGGTCCCTGTCGAGGGGTCCTGGAAGTTGCTTATCTCTGTGCTGGTATGTTTTGGGTGGGTAAATTTAAAAAACAACAACAAAACACTGAATTTTGCTTGGGAGAAGAGCACTGGGGAGAAGGGGTGGCTCTGCCTACCTGCTGCCTCCTCTGCCAGGAGAGGCTGCCTGGCCACACGCTCCCCACCTCATCCTCCTCCCCTCTGCCCCTCACATTTACACTCATCAGAGTATTACTGCCTTTTGCTGGAAGTTAGGAATCTGGCATATAAACTAACCAAACTGATCTCTCATGAGAAATACCTTCCTTTCTCCAGAAGGTACTATCACATGATATTTCTGACTAGCTCCCTGAGTGCATATCTAGCTACAGTGAGAAGTTTCATTTGATTTTGCAAAATATTTATTTGCCGAACTGGGGCCTGAGTCTGATACGGTCATTCACCTCTTATGATGGGTTAGTTAACTTTTCATTCTTTGCATTTACTGTAGCTCAGAGTACCCTGCCTAAGCAGTGTCATTAAAAATACTGTGCTCTGAACTAAAGTACTTTGGCTTTTTTCCTGGTTTATTGTTTTTTAGCAAGTAGGAAAGATTGTAAAGACTATTCCCCTCCCTGCAGCATGGGGACAGTAATGTCCTACCCCTGCTTCCCTGGGTGCTCCTTTCTGCTGGTTTGCCTGCAACTGCTGTCTCCTGCCTGGCTCTGCTTGTGTGTTCTGTAACCAAACCCTGCTCCAGCTACAGTCCCAGGGTGTCTTGTAAAAACTATTAGCAGCAGAAAAAATAAATACTTAACAAAAGATTTTTCCATGGTGTGAGTTTGATGTTTGGCCAGCTCAGCTGACAAGTAAAATACCTGCTGGTATAGATGAGTTCTGAGATTGCAAAGGTCTTTTCTCCCCCCCAGTTTGCAGTTTCCCCTGCAGCAGGGTGCTGGGCCCTGGGGGTTAACGGCAAGGAAACACCTCAGACCTGCTGGAACTGGTGCACGGCTGGGCAGGGGCTGGATGGCTGATTGCCCATGGTCCCACCAACACCACGAGGGTCGGGGACACACGATGACACATGCAAATGCAGAGTCATGCCTCTTGCCTAGTACAAGCCAGCAAAATAAGTGACAGGATTGTGGAGAGCTGCTATGCCAGGTGAGAGCAAAGGGCAAGGTCTCATGCAGCCTGCTCTCAGAGTGATGCTAACGGGGCTAAATTTTGGAGATTTTTTATTTTTCTGAGAATTTCCATTCAAAGAAGACACACAGCGACAGGCTGAGTTTCTATGTCTGCCCCAGGATGGAGGAGCTGCTCAGCCCAAGTAAGCTGCCATGCTCCTGCCAGCACACCTGGTGAGCCCAAATTCCTCTGGCCCCTTCATTCAGTGGCCTGTTTCCCATCAAACATGAAGCAGCACCCCAGAGTGTGTAATAACCACACACTCGCCCCTTCTCCAGACAGCAATGAGCCTCTCAAGTGCTATTTTGATGAGCAGCCTGCAAAATGCCAGGTTTTCAAGAAGCACTTCAGTGTTCATTATTTTGCGAGAATGAAGATGGTGTTGTGAGAGGAAAACATTCTCTGATTTCCATTTATTAGAGAAAGCAAGCTTACCTCCTTGTTTCCTAAATGTTTCCCTTCCTTTCCAGCACACACGGCCCTCCACAACACATCTCTGCCTATTTAGTGGCTGATTTTACCAAGTCAGAGCATCACACAGCATTAAGAGGAGAGCAGGTGAAAGAGGCAGTGGTTGTAGGGGAGGGAAATGTGGACCTCTGTAACTGACCTACTGGAGTCACCCTGCAGACGTTTGCCAAACACACCTGCTCCCTAACTTGGCTCTGTTCCCCAGTTCTCTCCTGCTGAGCATCCCAAGGGAGTCCCCTCCTGGTGCACCCGCTGCCATAGGCTGCCCTGGGCAGCCTGGCCAGATCTCTTACCCACAGGACTGTCCCATGCCTGGAGTCTCCAGGCTCCTCTTGCCTGCCCCAGAATTTGGGTTAGGAGGTGAAATGTCCCTGTCCTTATATCCAGTCCAATGGGTTGGCCAGACTCAGCTTTCTAAAGGCACTTGACAGCTCAGCAGGAAGCTTTCCCCTCCTTTCCCTGACACATACAGCTCTGGTGTGTGCAGAGCATTCCCAGGGCTAAGAGCACGTCCAGGGAGGGCTGGGAACAGAAAGAGGGGAAGGATGTGCTGGGAGAAAGGCAAACTGAGGATGCAGCAGCGGTGAACAAATGATTAAATTGCCTGTGCCTTGTATGTTGTCTGGTATAACAGCCACCTTTTTTCATTATGCTGGAACACGTGAAATCTCTGCAGTTTATTGCCTTGAAATCAGGAGAGCATTAAGATTTTCAAATTGCCTTTCACACCGGGGATTCCTTGTTATTCCTGCCTTAAGTCTACGAGTTACTTACCTTGCTTTTGGTTGGAGGGGGTGTTGCATTAGTTCAAGCTTTCATCCCCCTGAATGTCTGCATTTCACATGTACCAGTATGTAAGAGAGAGCTGTTCAGGTAGTTTCCTTTTGCCAGCCTGGAGCCCGGAGGTGCCCATATGAGGCAACTCCCACAAAGACATTGTTTGTCCATCTATCCCTGCCTGCCTCTGCCTATCTATGGGAGAGGCTGCAGTTTTTGGAGAGGGGGGGAAAGAAGTGGGGTAGGGTTGTCTTACCATGATGGCCTCAGCTTGCTTGGAGTCCAGCTCTGACACCGCCCTGCGGAAGCCTTTGGCTGCAGAAGTGGAGATGTTCGGGGTTGGCATCTTTGCTCTTCCACGAGCTCTGATCTCTGCTTTCCAGCTCCTTGCCAGCTTTTTATAGGGCAGAGCTGACGTCAAAGACTCTTTCAAATCTTCTCTCCCCCCCGCCACCTCCCCATCACCACCTCCCTCCTTTCTCCCCCTCGGGCTGAGAGGAGGAGGGGACATGAAGGAGAGAAACGTTTCTGTCCCATTAAATCTAATCGCTACAAAGATTGCAGACACCCTGCCTTCGCAGACCAGACGCTCCCCCCACCTGTTTGCCTGTGCCCAAAAGATTTCTACTCTGTTTTTTCCTACTCTTCTCCTGGATGGAGTTGACTCTTGTGCCGTGTTTCAGTCCAACACATTTGCTTTCCCAGCTTGTAAGGTGCAGAAAAGGATTTTGATCTGTGAAAAGACAAAATCAAAGGAAGGAAGAGGTTCAGCCCCTTCTAGCTCTCTTTTCCCCATGTTTGCCTTGTCATTGAGGCAGCAAATGAATAGAAAAATAACACTGATTCCCCTAAGGCAGCTGCAGGACTGGACACTGTTCTCACATACACACCTCCCAGTGTCTGGCCCCTTGCAAACGAGTTTCGGTGCTCTCCCACCACCTCATGTCTTTCTTTGGCCAGGTAACACTAACAGCAGGACTACAGAATCAGATCTCTTGAGTCCTCAGAGATGAAAAAGGCTTTAAAGAAAATAACCTGGAAAAAAAAAACCCTCTCAACCCTGCTTTCCCAAGAGCTTTGCTCCTTTTGCAGTAATTCCTAAGAGACCAAATGCCTGAGAATCTCTGGGGCTGTGACAGTGGGTGCCAACCCAGGACCCATCCCAGGACTCTGCTTTGCTGTAAGCAAAAGTGGTCTTTTCCTCCCAGAAGATTTGCAGCAGCTGTCCCATGCCAAAAAATTCTGTGGGAATGCATGGTCTTGCTTTGTGGGAGCCACCGCGATGCTGGGGACAAGCCACTGGCTGGCACAAGTTCTTGCAGTGGGGAAGCTGGTAGTGTTTAACTGGCTGACTGCCGGGGAGCTCACCCACAACCTTGCTGACTGTGGTATTTCTTTAGAAGACATCTGCTGAAGACACCTGATTAGTGTTGATGGCTCGTCCTTCCTGTGGCGGGACAGCTGAGTTTGTGCCAGCATGCTGCTGACTTTGCAGTACCAAAAGCTCTGGAGGATCAACATCCCATTGATCTCCTTGAGGCTGGAAAGCTCTTGATGTTTGCCATCTTCTGTAAGCACTGGGTAGCAGACAGCATGATCAAAGCTGCCAGCCCCACCAAAGCAGCTTGGGAAGCCCCAACTGGCTGAAGGTTGGTAGAAGTTGAAGCTGAAGCGAGCAGTTGGCAGTAGCCAAAGATTTGGCTCAGCTGTAAGCCAAAAAAAAAATTAACTCAGGTGGAGCAGTTTCTCTTATTGTGGGTGTTGAGGACAACCTGCTGTTCAATATAGTGGTAACCAGAGGAAGGAGTTAAGCAGCCATCGGGGCTCCTCTCTTCCTAGCCTCTGTGTCCTCCCATGTGGTACCACCTTGCACACTGAGAGCAGCCCGTGGTTTTACTTTAATTTCATTCCTAATCCCCTCTGAGTCTCCTAAACCTTCTGTTTGCCCTCTGCTAAACCCTGGATGCTTGAAACACAAGATAAAAACCCACCAAACTGATGGAGGGGAATTCTGCCTGTTGCCGCAGAGTCTTCTCAGAAAACATTGTAGGGGCAGGTCCTGAGTCATCACCACCGCCCAGCAGCTGGCCAACGAGCAGCATTGCAGGCTCAGTCACCTCCTGGCTGCTGGGGTGGCCTTGAGGACCCCCCTACTGGGGGATAGAAATTAGCACAATCCTACAGTGGGTTTTTTGTGCCACTGGCTAAGGTGGACCATGGTAGCCGGAGAAGTCGGGGTGCAGGGAACACCACTCTGAAATAGCAGCGCTCACTCTCCCGCTGCCGCCTTAGCCAGGCAACCCAGCTCCACTCGCTGCAGGCTGCACCTTTCCAAAACCCCTTTGAGCCCATTTTTCCCAGCAAGTGCACAGAACAGAAGGTCATTGGCATCGTTTGGCGCTGCCACCGAGAGACCGCTGCCACCTAAGGAGTGATGGCTGTCTTTGATGGCCAGGCTCATCAACCTGCTCGGGAATTGGTTGCCTCCCAGCTAAGGGGATGACGGGTTTGGAGGATGACCATGGCACAGCATTCATTTAAAGCAGTTCCTGCTGAAGGTAATCTTTCCATGAAATTTAAGATTAGGATCTCCTGCAGGTTGCCACCCATGCTGTTTCATGTTTCCATGTTCTATCCCGACTTTTCTGAAGCAAGGCTTTTCTTAGGGATCTGAGAGACAGGACTTTCAAGCAGTATGATGCTTAATCCCATGCTGGAACATTTCTGTTTTACCCCAATCACAGACACAGAGTGTGAAGAGGGATGGCCACCCCAGACAATCCTGCAGAAGCCAATCACAGCAATTCATCCTGATTTTTACCCTGCAAGAGATCTGATCCTCTCCAGAGACCAAGTGGAAAAACCCTTGGATTTTTATGGGGTTTTAAGTTTATCTGCAGTACCCTTTCTGATATAGGGGGGATTAAAGGCAAGCATTAAGACAGTAGACTGTCAGAAACCACTGCTTCAAAAAATCAGGTGTTTGTCCTAAGTTACACCAGTGTCTTGCCTTAGGAAGACTGAATCCACTCTGCAATTAATGGTTGCTAGTATGTAGAAAGTAGATCTCATGTGGAAATATATGAGTAAAAAGCAAATTATGACCATATTAGATATCTGAAGATAATCTATGAAGACTGTCAGGAAGAAGAACCAATTCCAAAAGAGGCCACAAAAATAAAACTTACGTATCTTTCATGTTATACATCAGTGGAGAGCCCTCACTAGGGATTCTGTAAATCCATTAATACCAGTAAAGTAAACACATAAAAAAGCAAAGAAGATGCCTCTTGCAGCCATTGCCTTTTTGCTTTGCTGAAGAAGTTGTCCTGTTCAGCTTTACAGCCACACAGAGCCATTTCATGCAGTGGTGGTGTTAAGTATTCCTGGATGATGCTGCAAACGCTTTAAGGGCAGAAAGCCGTAGTTAAGATAAGCACTCAAGAAATGTTTAATTTAAACTATTCAAAGACTTTGCTAATGTGCTACAGTGTTACAATATGAGCATTGTCAATGAAAGGCCTTGCCAAGATCAGGCCAACTTCACTGGGATTTCCTTTAGGAAGGAAAAAGGGACTTGGCTAGGAGAGTCACAAGAATTGCATTTGAATATTTTTATCAAAGAAACTTTTAATTCTGGATGAACTCTTTTGGATTGGACTACCTTTCATGCAGCATGTAGAATATGGAATTTCAGCATTTTTTGTTTGAGGTTTTCGGTTCAATTTTAAGACAAAGACAAATTTCAAATTATTTAATGAATTTGATCTCTTTTTCTTCATATTGTTTTCTTACCTTAAAATTAGAAGGAAGAACCATTTTGCTAGACCTTTTATTTTTTGGTAACTGACTTAGTTTAAAGGTCTCTTTAGAACAGCATTTGCCAGGCATGATAAACATAAAACCAATCATCAAAGCAAGTTCCAGTTATCCAAATTTGTAATCAATTTGCTGAAAGGATACCTTAAAATGTCAGTTCATGTAAAGAACTGAGAAAATTGGTAAAGTACTTTAACAAATATAGGAACAGAACGAGTCACTCAGGCTTCCTGCAGGCTGTAACATATTCAGAGATTGCATATGAAGGCTCTTCTGACAAACAGGGGCTTTAAAAAGCACCAATAGCATCAGAGTAATTTTCAAGACTATTGTACGAATAGATGGAATTTCTTTGAACATATTTTCTGCTTTTCTTTTGTCTCATTACATATTGTTTTTCTCCTTGTGAAATTCAGTACTTTATTTAAGCTCATCAGTTCTTCTACTTAATAATCTCACTCCAAAGCCCTTGATTTTTAATTCATCTTCTTTATATGGATAAAAAATTAGGCATACAACTCTTTTCTTCTTTAAGTCCTGCTAATCTGTCACCCCTCCATCCCTGTCTGGTGATGAGAATTCTGTATTACACAGAAAAGTTCTCCAGCACAGAGACTCCACATAGCTAAAGTGAAGTCCTGCTTTCCATGCAAGTTCCTAACAAATTTTCCACCTGTCTCCTTCCAAGGCAAAGTCTCACCTTTTTGGAGACCATCCACAGCTTGGACATTTCCATATTTTCATGTGTCTACATTTCTATAAACCACCTCCTTGGGTCCACATTTAAACTCTGCTGTTATCAGACAAGACTTCTGGGATCTGTGAGCCTGTTTGGTTAAACCAAGCCAGGCTTGTCTCAGCTTTTGTCATGTTTGACTAACTACTAGATTTGCTAATGAGGAAGAGGAGCCTTTAGGAAGCTTTATAAAGGAAATACAACAGATGGATGGGTCTTCATCACTGCTTTGTTTCTCCCACTCCAACCACACAACCATCCTTGAATGTGTGTGGGTACCATGTGTATCCAGCTGTGTGTTTTAAGGGATTAATCTGACATAAAACAGAAACAGCAAACACTGTTGGACATTGCTTTCCTGCACTAGTCCCCAGACAGAAAAGCCCATAAACTGAGCAGCTCTGGCTGTGCTTCCCTCAAGGGTAAAACAGACCCCAAAAGATTCAGAAATGGCATTAAGGTGCAGAGCACCGCTGGTCCTCAAGAGAGTCATTTCACCTGCCACTGGATGCAGGATTGGCTGTGCAGAGAAAAGAGCAAGATATTATTTTCTTTGGCTGGATCCATGTGGTCATTTTGTGCATCCTCAAGCATTGTTTGCAATAATCACCATTCCTGAGCACTTTGGTTATGGGGACCGAGAGCAAAACCCCATCTGCCAAATCACCATCCCTCAATCTGGGAGTTGGAGAGTTCTCTGTGCAACATCCTGTGGTCTTGACACAAGTCCCAGGGCGAAGCAGTGGCAAAAGCACTTCCAGCCCAGCCTGGAGAGGGTGGGGGTCTCTCCTGTGTCCCAGGGAGC